CTTTTTTCACACTTACTGATAGGAACAGAGCATTTCCCATGACTGTTGAGCTGTGAAAGAGAAGGTTACGTGGGTGGGACTCGATCCCACGACCTCCTGCTTGTGACTTTTTCACAAGCTCTCGGACAAGCAGTGAGCATACAGTGTTTAATAATATATACATTGGGTAAGGGCAAAACCCCTTATATAAATTAACATCTCCCCAATGCAAAAATACATCCTTTAAAATTCTCCACTGTTCAAGAGGAGAACTGCATTGCAGGGAGTACCGAGCTCTAAATAAAGCACTAATGGCTTGGAAGTGAGGTCTTCCATCCTCAATCTGATACTTACAGGTGCCTGTACATAATTACATCCATAACCCTGCTGGTGGATTTTGGAGCATCTGGGAAGGCTAGTAGGGTTAATAAGGGAACAAATAAGTGCTTGGCTGGTTTTAAATGCATATTTAAGACTAGCCAAGTACATATTAATTCCCATTCCTAAATACCTTTTTTTAGCCAGAGCATCAAAAGAAGGCAATGTACCATAAGATTTCCAACAATTTTGTTCTAGAACTTTACTTTCATTTTCCCGAGCACCTCTGTCCATTTTCCAGTTCGTATGCTCAATGTGCAATTTGTCCAGAAGAATTTCCATGGACTTGGTGCACGCGGACACAGACTCTTGACCAATAGCAATGGATTAAACTGTCTGGTATCCCGGTGCCAGAGTGTTTTTACACGACGGGCATTATCAAATTGCAGCGGGTATTATTAAAAGTTATACACAGTCACGTTGCAAATTACTGAATAGAGAAACTGAGGTGTTTATGAATGTGTCATTAACCCTAACCTGCCAGAATCATCCAAAATCCTTTCCTGCAAAGGAAAGAAATTTGGAGGATCCTAGTTACTTGGCAGTTGAACCATCGGAATTTTTCAGGAATTTGGTTACATGGAGTTTTTGCAGACCAGAATTGAAGGATTTGGGAGGATTCTGGCTCTGAGCAGGAAAATTAGGGCTGGGGGATAGGGTTAAAAAGGTCACATGCAATAACAAAGTCCTTGTTAATGTACTCTCTGTGCCATGTAACCTTTTTCAATGTTTATTTTGCCATTTTAGAGAAATTTTGTGTCATGATTGTTTTGATAAAAAGGTTTGAATCTTTTTGAGCCAACTGGTAGTGTCATTTTTGGAAAAACCTCATTGATACAGCCATTTTATCACCATAGTTTACCAGCATTTTGCATACTGTACCGTCTTACATGTATATTTCTTTTCAGTATGTGTATGAGTGTATACATGCATAAGGAAAAGAATGGATAATTTAAAATTCAAAAGCTAAAGATTTTAACAAGACTAACAAAAAAGATGGCAGTGTTCACGCACTGTACATTTTAGGGCAGAGTGTTGCACAGAATGTTCCCAAGAACAGTTCATGCCATGGGCGCCGTCATTCAATTCAGCTTCAACTTCAACTGTACATGTACATGTATCTACAGGACACCCTGAAGGTGATTTTGGCTGGCAAAAAGAATAAGTAAAAAAGCTGCCACAAGTATTTGATGTTACATTTCAACTCACCTCTAATGTCAAGAGATAGTTTGCGAGTTTCTTCACCAGTGGTTCATACGGTGCCGTGTCCATTGACGCATTACAGACAAAGCACAAGTTGAACAACAATGCATTGCGGGAGTATTTGACATTTTGGATGCTGACGGGGCAACCAATGATCTTGTGACCAAGAGCATTTCTGAAGAGTGAAAGGGCACAAATCTTTCAAAATAAGCAACATCTTCTCATGGAAACAATGGAAAATCTGCCAGTTTTGACATAAATCAGATAGTAAAGAAAAGACATCCCTGATCAATAAATCTGCAAAGTTTGAATCAAACCACGCCAACTCAATAGTTTCATCTGTTAGCAGATTATCATTTGAAATTCACATAAATATCCATGCATGATTGCTTGCCACTATGTGCAGTCAAGGGGAAAAAGTTCAGCTTTTCCATATTTCATATGTACATGTATTTATTCCACCTGTTTTGTGGCTAAAAAATCAGACTTACAGGTACGTGGTTATTTCAATTAGAAACTTAAAAGAAATCACATACATGTACATGCAAAAAAAGACAAAACCATAATAAAAACAAACAAAATTAAATTTTGAATCACATTTGACGAATAAGGTACGTTCAGAAGGAGGGCAAGTTGTTCCAATCCAATTAATAAACTCAGTGGGGGTTCTGTGAAGTTAAGTTGCGTAGTCCAAAGTGTGTTCCCATTCACATTAGATAACAACGATAACTCTTTAGCTAGGATTCTAGTGGTGCTTTGTACATGTGCATGTATCTATCACCCTGTTCATGTGTTTACGACATACATGTACGCTGCAAACGTACATGTCCATGTAGACACATGTACAATGTATGTTTTGTATTGTATGCATTACGTTTCTAGTGAATGGATTGACAGTTGTATTTTTTCTTGAAAATCCCTTAATTTCTTCCTCAGCGTTGTCAAGACTGGTCTGAGGATGCATGAACTTTAGGCTTTCTATCTTGAACCAAAAATCAGATTGTAAGGAATGTTAATTTTAAAAAAACAACATTATTACAAACAATTCAAAATGTGAATTCACGAAATGGTTGAAATAAGAAACTAAATGCCACCAACTGAGGGAAAACAATTGCTGGTGGTGTCAAATCAAAATATGAAGTATGCTAGCCAAGGATCTACATGTATAACTGGTACTCACATTGTGATGAGTCTGTTTTGTAATTCCGGCTTTGTGATGATGTAGACGTGTAATGTGTCAAAAAGCTCACGGGACACATACTCCTCAGGCACCTAAGACAACATCCGGAAAAAAGGTGAAGACAAATGCCAATTTAAACAATGTTTGAATCTGACTTCATATACATGAACGTGTACATGTATGCAGACCTGGCAAACATGGAGATATGAGAGAGGCATCGTGGTGTGAGTGGCCATTTGAAGTTCAGCTTTACTTTTAAAAACCTCTGTGTAACTCTAGGCTCCATTATCACAATCTCCAAGTCTTTCTTTCATACAACTGAAGGATTGAAGAGCCATTTGGAGGTGGATGTTCCAAAAATACCAACTTGTAGCAGTTCCAGATGTCTCTACACGTCAATATACGTACATGTACATTACTTGGTCAGATAATGTAGTCACACTAACTCACAGGGTCCCAATACACGGTAAGTGAACTGGGCCACCTGTACCCACCCACATGGATACCGTACCTCCACAACACCTCCATCCATCATTCCAAAATGAAGACTTTCCGTCAACCAAGCCCTTCTGTGGCAAGGAACATCTCGCAAAACAACTCCATCTCATCACTGCAACACTGCATCAAAATGTACAGTATCCCCAAAGCCTGGGCCCCTAGTTTTCATTCTCTTCAAACTAGGGGTAGGCAGTACTTCTCACCACATCCAGTGCAGCCTCCATAAGCATGGAATTTGAGTGTACCACACAATCACCGCCCCCCAAGATTCAGAACTAGCTGAATATGCACTTGTAAGGACTGACCAGACCAACATGGTAGGCCAGGAATATGCAGGATCTTCTGTGGCAAAGTACACATAAGTGAAACTGGCAGGGCCCTCCCCAGAAGACTTCATGAACACAAAGTCTACAGTGGCAAAGGACAACTTGAGAAGTCATCTACTTATCATTAAGCACTCCCACACTAAAGACTGTCTGATCAACTGGAGCCAAGCTGAACTCATAACCAGCATCAAACACTGGTACCCCGGCTGCATTAGGTAAGCCACTGTAACCCTCAAAACAAAATGTTCACAGTTCCCAAAGACATTGGTTTCAATGGGGGTGTGAGTGGCCATTAAAAATTGAAGCTGAAAACTGAAGGCTAGCAAAAAGCTGACATGTAAAAAGTTCCCATACTTTTGTACAGACCAGGTGTACAAAAAAACTGAAATTCAGGGTCAACATTTAAAAAAAAAATGAAATCAGCTAAAATGCTGAATTCTACCACCCCTGTTTCAACATCAGTAACATCTGGCACCCTGTTGTCACATCAGTTCCATGGGTCTTTTATTCCCTTAGCAGCCTTCCCCGGGTTCCCCTCCTTCAAACTGACACACCTTGCTGATCATCCAGCACTGTGCGATCTGATTGAGTACCCTCACGCTGGATACTGGGATTGCATCATTTTCACACCTCACCACCTACAGAATGCAGACACCATACATGTATAAATGTGACTACAGAGAGACAAAGCATACTGTCCAAAACAATTGTAGTCCCCTACAATTCTTTACAGAACCATGCACACTTACAAAAGAGATACATGTATTTCACATGATCCTACTACTATGGTAGTACATGTACATCTACATGTGGGTCCTAGTATCTTGCTACCTTCATCATGGAAAAGCTCGACCTTGAAGTAGAGCTACATTTAGCTGTAAATGTCCTTCCAGAAGGTGTAAGACGCAACCCCATGTGTGCCTGACAACTTCCAAGTGATTGTGTACTGAAACAGCACAGCTATGGTGTCGCTGAGGTTACTTAATGTATACTTTGTACATTAAGCAAGAGGGGCACCCTTTACAAGATGGAGTACAGTATACAAGTGTGAGATCCCCTTTGAGGAAGGATATCAATATTTTGGAAAAAGGACAAAGAGAGCAACTACTGCAAGTTAGCACTAGCACTGAGGAATCTTTCACATTCAGCAAGACTCGTGTATTGGTCTCACAACACTGGAATACAGAATAAGGCGAGGAATCTAATCAAGACAAGATTATAAGTTACATGTACTTTGAGGATGTGGATAAACATAATTTCTTCAACACATCACTGAATTTTGAACAGCATTCACAGACCTGGGTTTTACAATCAATACGCTGAAGAGTCTTTTTTTTAGCCAACACGTCATCAACTGTGTCAACACAAGGAACAGTTTGCTTTAGAACAGTAGCGCAAATACTAGCTTATAAATGCCTTTATCACATGTACATGTACATGTAGCAAAATGTGTCTAGAAGGTTAGTAGTACTAGTAGACATGCATGACATGTACGACCATGGAGCTCCATGCTATGACATGTCGACTGTACGGTAGAATGCCAAGTGAAACCAAAAATCCAAAATAGGCCTAAAATAGGCCCAATATTAATAACAATTATTATTAATATTAATGTAGCCCCACTAGTGTGGCACTGACTCTCACTCCCGATCCATCCTTAGCCACACATCCGTACATGCAATTTTGTGTCGGCGTATTGAACATTGCTGCGCACCCACTTATCATCGTGGGCGCAATTTCTTTTGCACACGAACATGATTCTTGACCATTCCGCTTTCTAAAAACCATTTATTTAATGATTTCACTCACATTATTCAGGTATTTTCCAGTCTTTTTGCCTTTACCCATTCAATCTAACGGGCTCGCTTTTACAGTCTTTGAAATAAGGTCGGTGAACATTATGTCACTTGACCCCCCTTATCGTTTCGACGGCTGTTCCATGTCAAGACATTTAAACTGCTACCAAAGTTTTGGCAGAGCCCATAGGTACATGTAGTACCTTATCGCTCAGTCCGTGTAATACTTATGTCTTGACATGGAACAGCCGTCGAGATGATAAGGGGGGTCAAGCAAAAGAAATTGCGCCCACGATGATAAATGGATGCGCCAAAATGTTCAATACCCTGACAAGAAATTGCGTATACCGATGTGTGGCTAAGGATGGATCGGGAGTGAGAGTCTGTGTCACACTAGTGGGGCCACATTACTTAGAACAGCTCCACGCACGTAGGCCGGGCACTGTACATACATACATTTCGGGACCCTTCCACGTTTATTCTAACACAACATGTCAGTCCCTAAAATTATTCCTCCTTTTGTAATGTATATGAACGCTAACAGACCCCAAAACAGGGCCTTTGATACTGCATACATGTACTCGGATTACTCCTCTGTTGTGATCGGACCCCAGTTCTACCGGGGGTAACTTCAAATTGGCTTACTTGGTACGTAATCTTGTGGCCTGCTGTGGGATGAAATTCACTGAAGAAAATGCACTCTAACTTTCCGGTAGCCATCGCCACACACTAATTACCGATGCAACTTAAATTTAGGCCCTAACCATGCTAAACGTTATGGTAAAGACCAGTTAGAACACGCTGCTGATACATCCACATTATGATGGACCACTGCTGGGTTGAATATACATGTTTTCCAAACTCTTGGTGGCGCTACACACGATATGGAGGAGGAATCCGCTGATGCAGCGAAACCAGATCATTTGAAGCCAGCTTCCAAGGGGAAAAAAGGGTGTTTCCGCCGAGTTTGTTCATTTTTCAGCATGGCGGCACACATTTTAGCCATTTCCTTCGTCTCATATATGATTTATTTGGCCTGGCCATTTTCAAGTGAGTTGGGTTAGATCAGTATGATTAGTTAATAAGTGCAGTAGGTACTGCCAACCTAGCCAAGGTTGGACGACGTCTACATTGCATAGTCGCAATGCAATGTAGACGTTGTCCAACCTGGGCTATGCCAACCCCCAGAAGGCAGAACTGTGGGGTCGGCTGCGGGAGCGAAGGCTGATGTCGACGTCGGACCCCACAGTTTTGGGGGTCGGTAATTACTGCCAGGAACTAGCCAAACCCCCTCATGCATGCTCAGCCCATGGACACGATGGAGCAAAATTAGTCGGCTAGCACTAGCCCAGCTAGTAGGCCGTAGGGGGTGAACTACTGTTATTACACCCCCAACAGCAATATGGCCTTATAAACAGTCCATAGTCATGGTAGTTGGGCGGGCCCAGCCCAAGCACATGTACATATGTACAGTACATGTAGTTGGGGCCACGGCCATTAAAACTAGCCTAGTAACAGCAGGTCGGGGACCAAGGTTTGATCTAGCAATGTTAATAGACTGTGGATACAATTGCCTAATCAAGCAACAATCATTGATCTTCATCAATCAAACTTTTAAATCTCTAATTTAATGCTAGCATGGCTAGGTGTCCATACATTTGTGCATCACTTTAGATTTTGCTGCTAAATCTTTGGAGGCAGTGCCATTTTTTTTCACCGTAGGCTTACCACTAGGTAAGCAAATTCAGCCAAAAAATGGTCTAGAGAAACTTGGAGTTTTTGCTGAACTTGCTTTATATATTAAAATATTGGTATTCATTATGTTCATTGATTTCAAGGACAGCATGAAGGACCACATATTTATGATTGCCGTGTGTTTTTATTTTTTCCTTGGAAGATGTGGCCTGTATGGCTGTGGCAAATATTAGACTGGCTCCTAGCCCTTCATTATAAATGTTGCAGACTACCAAAAAACAAGAAACAACTTTTTTGGCGAAGAAAACAAGTTTCGGTTAAGCTTTTTGGATGGCTGTAAATTTCTTCATCAGTCTCATTTTGCAAATTTTATGATTTGTGTGTGGGTTTTCCAGAATAGTGTCTGGAATGGCAATCTCAGAGACTTTTGAAATTTCCTTAGAAAAAAATGATGTCTGCATTGGTCAATCAATCAATGGCACAGCATTGCTAGACCAAGCCTTGGTCCCCGACCTTATTAGGCTAGGTCTAACATTAAGACTCTACAAATCAGCTCTCTTTAACATTTGGACATGGTTAGCAGTAGGCCTAGTTACTCAGACTACTTTGTATCTCAATGAACCCATTTTCAGTATTGTGTCACCATGTTATAGGGTATTTTCTACTACATAATCTTGCTACCGTTTTGTTTTCATGCTTGCTGTGCTTGTCAGATGCATAAGAAAACCTCAACGTTAACATCGGTTTGTGCACAAGAAATTGATTATTTATTTTGTGCACTTTATTTATTAAAAGTGCACTTTTGGCTTCATTTAAATTAAAAGGGATGTCAAATAGGCCAACTGCCATTAATACACACTGAAGAAGAGTATCCATGTAAATGTGCCAAATAAATGTGAGTCTTAAGAGCACTCTCAAACCTATTGCTTATGAAAACTATTTTTCTTCTCCTTAATGCATGGTTAATGGTCCTTTCTTTAACATAAAAATTTTGTGCTTTCCCTGACAAATAAGGGCACTGTTGCTCGATGTCATTTTAGGAAGGAACTGTTTCTAAAATTTTTTCCGCCAAAAATGTTTCACAGTGAGAAAACTCCAGGTCACTCACCTGCTATTCGCTGAAACAACAGAAATCACAAAAGAGAAATATTATGTCAGCAACTCTAATTATCCTAAATTTGGGCATATTTTGGTGCTGAACGTACTGTAACATTGAGTTTTCTTCCTAAGGCAGCACATTTTTTCTTAAAACATCAAAACTTAATTTTCTCGTCGTAAAATATATATAATATATAATATATATAAGTATGAAAATGCTCTTGAAAATGGCAAATGGAAAGTTGAAAATCAAGCTAAATGGTGCAGATATAAGGACTTTTTGAGAATGCAACATTACATGGGACCTTAAATGTTGAGTTTCCCTTTGCTGATGGGTACAAGTTCAAACCAGTTAACTGATACTGCTAAGCTCAGTAGTTAACTTACATGTACATGTACGCTGTCTAAATTTAGAAGCAATAGGTTGTGGATTAATTCACATCAGCGAAAGGTAAAAATTTGATTGCGACATTAAAACTTCACATTGTGTGCGCAGCTGAAAGAAATATGAACCCTTCAAAGGTCATTTTTTCATTATTTTTAAGTGTACATTATAAATAGTGTATCTCATAAGTTTTTAGATGTTTTGATCGCAATGCATTTTTTCTTTGGTTACAATGACAGGCCTCTTTTCCTGGCATCCTGTGCTGATGTCAATTGCTGTAAGTGATAGTTTTATTGCCAGTTGTTCTTTCAGTTGTCTGTCTGTGATTGTATTTCGTTCTCTGAGACTTTGAAAGATTACAGAAATCTTGTAACCAGTGTGTAAAGCACAAGATATCCCTGCTGACTTTGAACTAACATAATTCTTGACTGGAGTTATTGTGCTGTCTTCCTCTCAAGCTTCAAGTATAATTTTTAATTTGTTGGGATTTGCTGGCACATAACATTGCATTCCTGGGATGCCAAGTAAAAAACTCCAGTTTGAAGAAGAAAAAATGCCACACTTTATGACCCTGAATTCACAGAATTGCCTACTTCGTATCGCAAAAAAAACCTGGAACCAAGAAAAGATCCAAAGGGTTATAACCAGGAACCTTATCATGCAAGTTGACTGTGCATGTATGTACACATGTACGGAAGGGCAGATACAGAACAAGCTGTTTTTTTGGGGGGGGAAGGGCGCTAACATTTAGTAATTTCTGTTGAATGAGGATAAATTTAGAGGCTTTTTCATCCTTTTGGAAAGATAGGAAGTAACATCTAATTCCTAGAAAATTGTCTTTCAATTTCATTTGAAAAAATAGCGCATTTCCTGTGGGAGGTGGCATTCTGGCCCCTATTGGCCCCCCATCCACCCTTCCATGCATACATGTAATGGAACATTCCTTTTTTTGCTTTGCCTTGCTACAGTTTGCTCTACTGATGACAGAGGCCATCCTGTTCTTCTCCCCGGACAGTAACTTGGTCCCCAAGGCTACACGCAAGATGAAGGTGACCTATCACTGGATCACCAACACCACAGCTGTGTTGTGTGCCCTGGCAGGGCTGGCTATCATCGTGGTCAACAAGGAGCGCTACGGCAAGCCCCATTTCACCAGCTGGCATGGGCTGTGCGGGATCTGCACAGTGGTCTACACCTGCCTGCAGGCCACAGCCGGCTCCACCCTCCTGTACCCTAAACTGACAGCTGGCCTGGCCAAGCCGGCTGACCTCAAGCTGTACCACGCCACTTCGGGCCTGGTGCTCTTCACACTGGCCTGCACCACGCTGACGCTGGGCCTCTTCACCAACTGGTTCTGGTCCACGGCCCATGGGACAGCCTGGTATTTCTGCATCGCCACCGTCGCCTGGCTCTCACTGGTCATTATGAACCAGGTCACTCAAGCTTACCTGCCAAAATCACTCAAGAAGCCCTCACAACAGTACTGAGAAACCAAGGAAATTGTGGAAGGATCAATTTTCTCAGTATTAAGCCTATTTTCAGTCTAAAATGGGGCATATTTTACTGTGGTAATTGTCCAGATCATACTGCAGTTGGAATTTACTTCTACCGGTATATCAGATTAACTTATAAAGTTTAAAGAATGTACATAAATTCTCAGTATCTTTTTACCAAGCATAAGATCCTGACTTCTGGGTCAGTCATTGTCCAGAGCCTGAAGGTAAACTTGCAGTTTATGCATGATATGCTGTGCATTCCAGTTGCAACTTGGGTAATGTTGCTTACCTTGATTAGCATAAAAAGCTTTGCTTGTTTTAAACCTTAAAAGATGTTTTGGGGTTAAACCCTTGCATTTGTTGCAGAAATTTTGATCTTTTCATTTTTGGTGTGTTGGACAGAACACAGCCAGATTATATCCATGTATGATCATGACTATAAAAATGTTAGGTTTGAACATAATCCACGTGAAATACATAACTCTTTGTATCATTTAAAGAAAGCGATCTTCAAAATGGAAAAAACAAGAAAAGACAAGAATGTTGTGTACATCAGGGTAGTAATTCATGCTTAGAAAAAACATACTAGTAACTTCCTTCGTGAAATGCTGACCTAGCTTCATGAAGTTTGCAAACAAATTTCTTTGTTTTGCTAATTTTGTAACCGTCAGTGAGTGCTGATTAAAAGAATGCGGCTGGCAAAGAGAAATTGAAATATAATTATGGTAGTACAACAAAGAATGAGCAGAGGAGTTATACTTGCTTTTTATTGTAATTTGGGTAATATTTATTTTACAAAAATTGGAGTCTTTGAAAACCCATCCAACGAAACCAGTATCGTGGCAAATAGTAAAAAGTTATTGTCAAATGGTACCTTGAGACAAGGCTAAGTCTCTACATGTAGGCCTATTAAAAAATGTCATAAATTTCTACGTCAATTATCCTCGGGAAATACAGTTCAAAATATGTGTACTGTAGTTACAAATGTTAAAGTGTTTATGGATATATTGTGAGTTCAAGGTTTTGCTTACACATACTGAAAAGCTTTTGGATCTCCTTGTAAGAAAAATACTTGAAAAGAACAGTTAAAATATACGAAAAAGATGCGGACATGTAAAACTAAAATTTGCCAGAATTTTAAAGACATAAGAGAAAGACATAAATGAACGAGCGATACAGGATCACCTAAGCGTGACATGGACATGTAAAAGTGTATTAAAGTTAAAAGAAAAGAACATAACATGCTACAGCTTGGGTTGCCGAATCATTTGATAATTCAGTAAAACAGATTATTCGAATATGGAATATTTATGTAATCAAGTATTCTGACGGTAAAGTGAACTGAAAATATAAAATGGAAATACTCCCTTTTTGTGGTAACATAATCGAAATCATAAATTTTGAAGGCAGCTGATGGATAGACACAACAATAGGGCCAAAAAGTTTCTTCTGCACCCACTTACCGATCGGCCCAATTGTGAAGTCCCACTCTAACATTTGCATTAACAACTTAAAGACGTTCAGCTCTGTCTTCACATAATACTTAGAACTCAACATTGTCCATGTCTAAAACCCTTGTAACATTGATCAGGACTTTTGGGGTCTTTCAAACGGCCGCGTCCTGAATCCGACGTTTTAAAGGCAAAGGAACCAAAGCATTGTCACCACACCTGGTCCTAAAAATTGCCCACCCCACTTTCTAACATTTATTTCATATGACAAACTCCTGGATTCGCCCCTGCTGCTCCGTTTATTTTCTGACATCATCAGTGCTCCATCCTGAATAACTTAATTTTTGTACTCCAGGGTGGTTCAATTTTTCGAACGAAGGGTGGATGGAGTAGAAAGTTCATTGCCTGCGAAGACTAATAAATCCTGGACGTGAATTTGTAGTGACGATTATAACGAAGTGTGTGTTCTTTCGAATTTAAGGCAAGCAAAACTAAAGCCTAAGACTCGGTAACTTTATAAGCATACAAGATGTCAACAAAATCTGTCACTATGCCGCCAACTATGAGGGGGGATTTAACTGCTTTTCGGTCAACGAACCCCCCAAAATGTAGCTAAATAAATGAGAAGTCAAAAAGGACCACTGGAAGTCAGGTAGGAAAGACAGAGAACGTTTGCTATTCTAGTGAAGTAGCTTACGTTTCAAAAATCTAGATTAGACTTAGGCAGATCGGTTTAATTTCAGTAATTGCACGGAGGTATATTCCCAAAGGATGAAAATTGTTCAGGATTATTGACATTCACTGTCCACTTGTATGCAACGTCCGCTGCGGATGTGCACCATCTTTCGGGCGGCTGGGCCACAGCGGTGTAATGATGAGACGCTTGCGCATGAAGGTCGACGTTATGATGCTGGTGTGCCTCAGTGTAAGATGCTCCAATCTGCATGTTGTCAGCCGGAGGTCCTCTTTCTAAGCTTCTCATAAGCACCAGGTCAGAATTTGCGGGTTTCTCGCCACTGTTGGCATGAAGACAATCTAGGTGGCCTGTTTGTGTGCTTGGTGGATAGAGGTCCAAGTGCGCTGACATGTTGGCCTGATGGTTATGGAGCACTGAATGAGGTCGGCCGTGTCTATTGGTATCAGTATTCGACGCATGCGGAGGCTGTGAACGCGTATAACCAACGTGGCTGTTGGAAGAATGCCTGTCCACGGTGTTCCCTGCATACGCCGGCTTGACATTTATCGAGCAAAAGGACGCATGTGTACAGGCGAACGCGCGAGAGTTGTTCGACACTTTATCCAGGTGTGGATAGATCGGCTGATTTGATGGTGACGTTTGGTTGAGATGCGATGACGTCAGACTGCTGTCGGACCATGGGGACGCAGGGGAGCTGCAAATCTCGCCTATTCTGCGTGATTTTGAGAGAATGTCGCAGGTTTGATTCTGTCGGTTCTCATCGCCTGCAGACGATAAGCCACGTTGAACCCCGGACTTAACCTGCTTGTCCGAGTTGTCACTGAGCGTCGCCGGTTCGAGCTGAAGTTCAAAGGGCAGGGGAACAGACGAGAGAACACCTTGGGTTACAGCTGGGTGCATAGTCTGGGAAGAATGTGGTGCCATCTCGTTAGGCGACCCACCTTGGGGTGCTTTCATGCAATCGGTGTTGGAGCTGGGAGTACATAGTGAATAGAGTCTGCCATGTCGCATGATGCGAGTAGGATTGTTGTCCGTCACTGGAACTGCCTCCCCGCGAATACTGCATTGTCGTTGGAGCAGTGAAACTGGGCGGTGAATTACGGTGGCGGTGTTTCTTCCCGACACAGCAACTGCCGGGATATCAGTTCTCGAGGTGTGTGGAAGATAACGACAGTTGGAAGAAGCTGGAGGGGGGATGGATTCAAAGTCAGACAGGTCGCTATAGCTTGAGCTGGAGTATTCCGGATGTTCCGATGCTGACGATTGTGGTTCTGGTGAAGACAGGCGTTCCAGTGACACAGGACTCGGTAGACATTGCGGGAACTCTCCCACTGGGCTGAGTAGCTGCTGACCTGATGGTTCATTCTCGTCGAAGTAACTTCCAAAGTCCAGATCTTTAGTCAGACAGGGTAGAGGCAGGGTCCTGTCCATAAGTGGTACTGCTGTGCAAATGCGGTTCGGCGGTGCACCGCTGATGGACTTTCGGGCCACTTTCCGTCGTCGTTTCCGCTGGATTTTCCCCTCGGAGTCGCTAGAAGATTCGCTTGACGAGCTGAGGTACGCTTCTTCCCGCTGTCGTTCTTTCCTCGCCATCGCCATTCTTCTCTGTGCTGACAGCGAGTTGTCTCTCGAAGTATTGGCTGACTTTAGCCCTGCAGAGACCTTTGAAAATGGATTTTCAAGAGTATTCGTCGCCTGTGTTTGCAATGGCACGGGTTGAGGAGACTGGAGAGTCGAGCTCTTGGCGTGTCCGTTAACCTGGGAAGTAAGCGATCGCATGCCGAGGATAGAACCCACAGCGCACCTGTACAACGCCTCGTCCAGTTCGTTGCGCTCTCCGACAGGTAAGGCTGTGCAGACCTGGTTCGGAGGAGGCTTCTCCCGGCAGGTGATGCACTTGCTGTCTCTGTGGCAAGAGTCCTCTCCCCTGTGGGACCTGGTGCGAGTACACGCCGAAGGAACCCCCGCGGAGGTGAGCGAGTTGGAGAGACGCCGCTCACTGGTCGATCCGGTTGTCGACGTGTCACACTTTAGCGAGGGAACTCGAGGGGCTGTGTCTATAGTTTCCAGGCTGTTGTCACACCACTGTTCGATGGTGGGACACATAGTTACAGGAGGTTCAGAGATGCTTGGGCCACAGACACCAGTCGCCGGTGCCACGTTCATCCGTGTCTGACTGATCGCTGCCTGGAGCTCCACTGACTCTGGTCTGACGATAAACTTTCCCACGCTGTGGAAAAACCGAAAGGGAAAGTTATGCGTATTGTACGATTTATGAGATGCCCGTGTTGTGCTTTTGCTTTCCCTCTCTGGAGTACATGCAGACTGTATCCTGTCTGGGTCAACAGGAAAGGATCCAACCTTCATCCTTTGCCAGCCACACAAAGGCACGTGATCTTATGATAATAGAATGCACTGTAGACGACTGATGCAAAACAAAATGTGTCTCAAAGCATCAATTTGGCAATTACTTGTGGAAAAGCTAAGCAAGTGAAAATGTGAAAGTCATCGAAAACCTTCCATAATACCTATACATATCCAAGAATTATGCTTAAAGCCAATAATATGTAGCTTGGCTTGTGAACTTCTGATGGCTTCATTACTTAGAGATCATTTTTCGTCTTGGCATTTAGTTACACAGAATTACAATGTACTTCCAACTGTAGGCGATCATGATTATTTCTTCTCATTAAAGACAATAGTTCAATAAATGCATTTATGCATAGTTACTGTTACAAAATATATTTACATTTAAATGTAAAGATATTTTGTAACAGTAACTATTCATAACACTAAACTAGGACATCGAATCTGCAAAGAGATCTAAATTATAATTTCCTTCCGGTTCTGTCTCGAGTTTTCACATTAAATTTGCATAAATGCAATAAAATTAAACCACACGTATGTACTCCGTTGCCTCCATAAAGATAAATCACGAGCATGCTACCCAATTCGATAGGTTTTGTAAAGAGGAGGACACGTAGTTTGAATATGAACGCTTTCCTAAAATATAATATTGTCATGAATTGATAAAGAAAGAAGCCAGGACTAAATGCATGTTCGACATTTTTGTGTTGTGATATTTCGGCGGATCTAAATTTCAGAAAATTTGTCTGTCGTGGCTTAATTGTCGGTGTGCAACGTAGAACGTAGACATGTACGTTTTGAGAACGGTCTAACTCTTTCATATTAAGATGATTTGGTCAAAACTCATTATGTACTTCTTGTAATGTATGGAAGTTAAAAATGTGGGGGACTTTTGCTGGCATATTTTGTGTAAACGTGGAGCTGAATTAGGCCTACTCTGTGGTCTTCCCCTGATTATTCCAAGCATTGAAGGTGATTAAAAATTAATGTTGGTCGCAAAATATCGGAAAACAACACTGGCACCCACCATGCATGCCAGCCTGTTAATGTGTGCTGGTAATTTCTGATTTGAGTTCTTATCGGATGAATTTTGTTTTCGGGTGACCTACTGTCAACGCGTTCACGAGGGCACGAACGTATAGAGTACTGAACGTGGCACTATCACCTACTCACTGTGCCTTTTGTCCTCTGCGTTTCATGCACAATTTATTGCGAAATGGAGCCAACGGCAAACTGTGCCTTAGGACAACAGCGTGAGTACCAGCGACAGTTTGAAAATCACCGCTCTGCTACAACCACTTGTCGTTGCTCTGTATAAAAAGTGCATGTGCCGCCTGATGAAATAGCTCTGGTGAAAAGCAGCAAATATGACATAAAAGTCATAGTCAGCCATTGGTAATTTCGATTCCGAAAAATCGATTTCGCGCCCTGTGCCTTCGAATGCGGCCCATAATTTTGCATGACTGCTGATCCTGTTACATGTACATGTTTTTGTGAAAGAAACTAGGATGCAGCATCCTGGGTAGCTCACGATTGTATTGACAGAGGGCACTGGTTAAGACGAGCTCAAGCAAAATAATTTGAAGTCCTCAGCATCCCTGACTGAAAGCAGGGGTGCAAGCGACCAGGTCTTGTCTTCTACCGGTCTGTGAAAGCCACGTCTGCTCACGCAGCTCCCAGTAGTGGAGGGTGGGGCTAGTGGGTCATCGGGGAAACTGGCCCACTCTTAGACAAAATTAAATCAAAAGGTTATGAAATTGACTAGTTGCGTTTAAACAACTATATTTATTTTTTTCAGAGACTGAGCTGAACACAAATTGAGGCCCAAGTGAAAAATATAAATAGGCCTAAACTTGAAAAATAAATTTAAAATCATGATTTAGGGTAATAAAAATGCCCAAACCAAGCAACTCCATACTTAGCTTAACATCCCCCAAACCAGAAATTACATAACTAGAGAAAAAGGTGTAGGAATTTTTAGATTAATTTTTTTAAATTAAACTTTGGTGCTTCTGAGATAATTACAATTGCCAATTTCAGTGTTTTATTATCAATTTACCCAGTACACGTAGCTTCCTCTGCGCGCACTACGTGTTTCACTGCAGGTTTTATTCATCAAACATCTGTCAATACATGCTAGACGGTCACCAGGACGGAACAGGAAGAATGCATCGAGAATAAAATTTCCGATTGACCGTGGGAAAAGACATATCAACAATGTCAATTATGATCAGACAGACTAAACTTTTCCTTGTCTGGGAAAAAAGGCCCACCACAGTGTACATGTATCTATTTAAAAAGAAGTTTTTTATACTGAACAAGGAAATATTTGCACTCGCACATGTCTGTACCAGCTGCCAATTATAAAGTAGCCTTGATGTATTTATGTATACACACGCACGTTCTTGAGTAGATCTGCATCCTTTCGCAATTATGGGGAAAAACAAACGAATTCTTAATACAGATTCCGTGCACATCTACAAATGATTAATTTTAATTCAGTTTTTTATTTATGTTATATCTGTGCTTGTCCATGGATATAGAATTTAAACAGACCAACCTTTTTTAAAAATTAACCATGATTTTATGAGAGGAAAGTTTGCGTTCACTTATGGTCTCTGGAGTTGAGTATACATGTACATGTATTATGTTCCTCTGATTATCGGCAGTGCCGTTTTTACCTATTTTCTGTTCACGAGGATTCTGTAACTATAAGGCAAACTTAGCCATCCTACACAAAGATACTAGGCCTATGCATGCGTATGCTTCGTTGTCAAAGAATAGCACATGAAATTTACCTTTGCTGTTCTTGCGTCGTATAGTGGGGATCATTTACAAAGTGTGGGCCTCTGGCTTCTGGACTTGGTTCGCTCAAGCTGAGCCACTCGGTCGTGTTGCAAGGCTTGTTGTCATTACTCTCCGGATGATGCCTCACCTGGGACTTTGATGGACCGTTCGCGAATGGAGCAAAACCGATTGTGGCGCCTTCCTGCTTGTCCACGGAGATGTTCGTTGCTTGTTCAGAAGTCGGCCTATTATCGGCCGTGTCAACGTGAGAGTTGACGAGGCTAACGTTTGGCTGGGGAAAGGAGCGTACGGTGCAGGGTCCAGGCCCAAGCATGTCTGCATCCAGCTGCGGGGGTATGTAGTCCATCGAGGACGGTTGACCAAACTCGTAAGTTACTAGCGGAGAGGGTTCATCCAAGACCGTGCTGCCGCCTTCTCGCTGCTGACGTTTGTACTTGGCTCGTCGATTCTGGAACCATATCTAGGTAAGCCAGACAGAAAAATACTTCATGATTTCCTTTACTTCCTGCATAGTGAGTTGTTATTGATGCCAGATTTGCTTTTGATTCATAGAGTTTTAAGTCCTTTAAAGCGCCGAAAGTTACCAGCTAAAAATAACTTGTTGTTACAATACTTGACCTGGGCTCTTCGCGAGTGTGCTCTGCACAAAAATTAGTTTTGTTTTAGCAGCTCCTTGAAAAAGGGGCACATTACTCTTCCCATCCAAGCAGTGTAACTGAGGATGGTGGGTAGAAGGTTCACCAGGGGCGTACACGTTTTTCTCTTGTGCGGTGGAATCATGTCAACCACGGCGTGTACCGGTATATACTCAGCTGTACGATTTTTATTCATTTCAAAATTTCAAACGGGGTAGGGTGGTTCAACGGATATCCGGTGGAGGTGGGGGGGGATACGCACGGTACGCCACTGCATCCCATGGTCCCCCGTGACCCTGCCTCCAGATACACAAATACATTGTAATGTGTCGGTTGTTCTTGAATATGACATTATGAATATGACATTGCCACAATTTACCGTAAGTCCTGTGTATTCGACGAAGCCATGGGCCATGACTCAAGGACACGTAGTTGCAAATCACAATACATCACATGATAAGTGGTATATATAGTACACGGGGCATTGGGAATAAATCTGGCAAGATTAGATGTTTTGAAGTGAATTGTAATAAAACTGTGCCAGCAAGTGGATGGGGAGGATGCATGGGGACGGACCTAATTCCTACAGTGAGCTAATTTGTGAACAAAGCACGTCAGCGTACGGAAAGCTCGAAACAACTTCTGCGCCAATTTTTGTTTATCACCAGTAAAACGTCGGGGCGATCAAAATGACTCATTACATTGGTGACAGGATGGGGGTACACATGTTTATATATACAGTATATACCCGGGCCATCCCCAGGATTTAAGCCCGTGGTGATGTGCCGTAAATTACGCCCAACGATCATGAGTGGAACATAATTATTAGGAATTCCCACCAGGCGAGTTGCATCTAGCATGGGTTTGTAGACATCTTCATGAGTGCAAAAAGTGAAAGAAAAGAAAAAAGCTTTTGTGTGTGGCTACTGCCGTCTTGAATGGCAGTGCGTCCCAACTGGCCAACAGGTAAAGCTGGTGGTAAATCGAAATAATTGGCTTTTTACCTGTACACGTTCCTCGTTCAGTTCCAACCTCTGCGCAATCTTTGCCCGCAGGTCACCATCAGGGTATTTCTGATCTTCGAAGAGCCTTTCGAGCGCGTGGAGCTGAGCTGCGTTAAAGTTAGCGCGCTCCCGCCGTGGCTTACCCGCAGAGGGCGCCTGGTCCCGAGCAGTGCGCTCTCTACGGCTGCGCTTCCGCTTCCTGTCGGCTTCCTCCGCCGTCTCATCTTGGGCGGCGACGGTCGCTGCTTCTTGGGAGGGGTTCGTTGTCGTGCGGACGTTGGATTGCGTAGATAGGTTGGTGCTGCCCTCAACGACAGGACAGTTACTGGAGCTCATTGTAAACGGGAATTCGTTCGTCCTTGGTCCTTTAAGCAGCTGGTGCTGAAAATATGCAACAATATAATTCATGAAAATGCTCTGTACCGCTGTAGCACTCAAAACCAGTGAAGATTTTTTGTTAGCAGTCTCCTAAAAATCCAAACTGAAACAATTAACAATCCATTGTTGCTCCATTCTCTTGGAATGGGTCATTATTCATTAAAGTTTCTAACATGCCTGGACAGGAAAATTGATACGGGAATCGAAAAAGTACTCTTCTACTGGTCGTTCTTTATAATGGTTTCCTTAGGACGTTGATGAGAGCTTAGGCTACGTCCGAATCTGTTGTCTAGGGCTAGGCCGCGGTCTTCAGTCTGTTGGAAATCTATGGAAGACACTCCAAAAGCGTGAAAATGTGCCCCTATAGCTGGTTTCTGTGGCCCCTATGCCCAAAGCTGCCGACAGGGCTGTGGACGCTTCTTGTCGCACATTGCCATGAAGAGTTACGTTAAATAAGCTGAGTAAGGATGTTTTAAGTGTTTTTAATCCTAACAGTCCTCAGTCCTCTGATTTCAATGTGATTTTACATAGGGGGTTAGGATTAAAGACAATTCACCTTACACCAGGCCTTGAAATTCAAGGTGAGGAAAAGGAACAGAAAGAAAAGGCAGATACGAGAACGTAATGTGTGTCATTGGGACTTGTTGTAGACAGATGAATAAAGTTCCACAGCAGAGCAGTAAGTGGAAAGAAAGTAGGGTATGCACATTTTTGAATTGGCTTTAAGAATTGCGAATGTGTATACGGATCTGACTGGATTAAGGAGGGTGATAACTAATGTTGTGCAAAACCGACCAGACCCGATACCGACTTCGGGTCGGGTCGGATCGGTTTTTCCAACATTTCAGTCGGATCGGGTCGGTTTCGCGTTTGTGGTTTTTGGGTCGGTTAAGTTATACATATTGTGAAAAAACCGAAATAAACCAAAAATAACCAAAAAATTGAACAGGGAAATTCACGTGATGAACTTCCTTTTTAGAGCTTTATATTACCGGTACATAGCCAAATTTATATGTTCGTAGTGGCAGCGACGAGGCACATCAAAATAAAACAGAAAACAGGAACTGTACTGCTATTCTGATTAGACAAGAAACGCAGTCGAGCAAAGCCGCACACAAAATCCAAGCCAGTTGGGCCAACTACGCATTTTTCTCAACAAGATTGGACGATTTCTCTTTTTGGGAAAACAGAGCAGAAAAAACACCAAAGTTAAGTACGGGAATGTAGTAACCAATTCCTCATATTTTGTTTCGTTCAATCGAGAGGATGATTACAAATCTTGTTCAAACAAAAGTTTTAATACACAAAACATGTGAAAAAACTGCTGTCCAAACTTTTTGAAAAAGTTATTTTAGAACACGGCGATCTCTTTATATTTCCTGGTACCCGCGATGCTCTTGCACATATACGATGACAAATCGTGAAATGCGCAATTGCGTACTCTGTGCATGGTTTGCGGACATGCAGGAACGTTATAGCGTAGGTCGCCTCGTTTGGACATAGCACAATACGGCCACGTCTGACAAGTACACCTGTATATATGTACATATATCATGCAATACTGGTTTAAGTTCAGGCGCAAAACAGATACGGTACAATTTGTGTGAAACAAAGGGTGATTAGCCCAAACCAGACGTTTGGATTGTCTCGGGTTCGGTTACTTTTTTGTCGGTTCGGGTCGGTTTTTCCCTGATTTCTCGTCGGGTCGGCTTGGAGAGTTTAGATTGGTTTCGTTTCAGATTCGGTTCATGTCTTTAATGTATCGGGTCGGTTTGACCTAGTCAACCCGATCCGATGCAGATCATTAGTGGAAACACGTCCAACAGTGCGACTTCGAGGAATCACCAGTGAGAGGCCGGTCAGCGCAGCAGACAACTCGACTGTCAAATCGACTTGGGACAACTCGACCGCTGAGACAACGGGCATGAAGGCCGCGGTAAACATGGAGTGCAGGGCAGGTCGATGTGTTTTGCACAAATTTGCACGTTTTGTGTTACGTTGCGAGTCGACCTGCCAGGCGTAACGTGCACAGGGAGCTGGTGACGCAGCATTCATGTACAGGATCGGTGGGTGGCGCGTCAGCCGCCCCAACCGGCGCGGTGCGAGGCAGCCGGGACGATGCCACTTGCACGGTGGCGCACCATCTGCGGTACACGCGCGCCTCGGCTGCTTCGTTGATCAGTCGCAAGTCCTCCGGTGTAGGAGATGGTAGATCTGTCCTCCAATCCTTTTCGGTTTTGAATTTCGAAAAAAAGTGTGGATGAGGTGACTGTAAAGTGCACACGCATTTACGAGTCAACTTGTCTCAATCGAGTTTTCTGACAGTCGAGTTGTCTCGACTGTCAAGTTGTCCAGAGTCGCCATTGGTAAAAGGTCGGGTTGTCTGAGCGCCAGTTCCATTGTAGTAAAAATTAAATTCATATGCTAAGTGAGGACACAGAGCGTTGATGTTTTATTGTAGAGAACCTGCTTACTCGCGACCCACCCATTATATGAATGAATAAGGAGACTGAACCGGAGGTTTGCCGCCAAACACAATACAGTGGGCTCATGGTTTTGCCAAACAAGAAGAATTAGTTTTGTCAGTTTGTTTCTTTTTTCTTTGAAAATGGTCTGAAAACTGGCAAATAATTTAACCCTTTTTGCACTTTCACCACAATGAAGCCATGAATGTAATTTCGTTCTCTTTCACTGTTTACTGAAGGCTATCGGGAGCCTGACTTAGTTAAACTTTTTCAGATATAGTCACATAAATTAAGCCAAAATCCAGCGCTGGCAGCCCAAATAACAGGGTTTTTTTAAGGTTTTGGTTTCTTTTGGTTCTTGTTTTTGTATCTTTTTGAGTTTCGAGACGTACGTGGGATTGTTGGCCAGACACGGCTCCTTAAACAAGCAGGCAAAACTGCCTGTCCATGCCATGGTAAAGACATTAAACATAACCATGTGGCAACTACTTGGTGTCGGTACTTTGGACTTAGAATTGGCCAAAGTATGTGTTGTACATGTAACCACCCAGGACTCCGCCCGGGCTGGCATCAAATAACGAATTTCATGTGCATGCACTTCGAACCTGGATTTGAAGACTCGAGTTAAACACGTACGTGAGTCTTTAACACCTTAAAATAATTTTACATGTTATCACTTTCTGATGGCTGCCGGTAATAAACCACCGCAGGGGAAAATTAGTGATGTCCGTGTATGGAACTCTTACCACAGAATTTTGGACGTTTGTCGGCCTTCATCAGTGTCAAATAACGACAGATGGTACAAAACTTGGGCAATTTAGCGACATCGACCTATCACGTGAAACATTCAGCATGCACCACTTGCAGAGTGAATACATGACATCCACAGACATTGGCTTACCTATTGTGATCTTGCCGCTTTCCAGGAAGTTGCCTCGCATTCTGGGCGTCCTGTAGGCTTGGAGATCAGTGAACTCACATGGATTCCGGTTCAGCTCATCAGTCATTCTTAAGAAAATCTTTCCTTTCCAAACAAGGGATTATATTTTTAGGAGCTACGGCCAGGGCAAGACTGAAAACTTACGTAAAATAATTCATGTAGCGGTAGCGCTCTAAATGCGAGGAAACTCTGGATTATCACACGCGTTGGCAGCAAGCAGTTGGGACTGGATCATTACGGCAACATCTCCGGCCGATTCACCTCGGCTAGCAAACTTCACGCGTGGACAAATTCGCACCTCTTGTTATGCTAATGTTAATCCTTGATAGGGCACCAGCAGGTCATTAAGTTAGACAATATACATTGTCAACACTGAATCCAGCATGACTTGACATTGCAGGCAGCTCACATGTAGCCTGTTGTGTCTATGCAAGAATGAACAGATGCCTGAGTCATTCATAGAAGGGAAAAAAAAACCCAAAAAGCACACACCCTTGGTATCTTTCTAGGCCTATCGCTAAACGCCCTAGCGTAACCATATACATGTACATGTAGTATAATAAACGCCATATCGCGTGCACGGTCAACAGGGAAAACTACATTTTTTCCTCCATGATGCGATTCCTTTTGACAAATTAGGGCCTATATAATGCTTTAGAAATAAATGCCTAAGAAGATGTAGTATCTGACTTTGTTGCAAATCAAACAGTAGAACGTCAGCCTGGAAATGTTTGAAATGAGGGGACGGGGTATTTGATGGGGCATTCGGAAGTTCGAAGGACCGTTCCAGGTCAACACAGTTCCATTTGTCCAACCGCTTGTAGACATCAACTAAGCATGCTCCAAGTAATAAAGTGTGAGAATCTTCACAGGGCTCCCATGTAGGGTTGGAGTTCTGTGTCAGAATAAATCCTCGTCATCTATTGCTGAATTTCGCTTGTCACTCGCCACCCTTACAGAGCGTTTGGAAGGGTTAAATGCCCTTCCCAATTTTGTGAAGGAAGTACAAAATACGTAATAGCTGTGAACTCGCAAAGCATTGTGGGTCACTTGCTGTCCTGATCCTAACCCAACTGATCTCTTGTATAGACACTTCTTTTGTTTACATAATTAATCATTAATAATGTGTGCGCTGACTGTTACAATTCAATCTTTAGATAGGGCCAAGTCTACTTGGGTTTTATCATGTACGGTGTGGAAGACCAGGTTTTACCACAGTTCGGCTGCCCAGGAATGGAGTCTCTCCTGCCCGTGACTCGGCACGTCAATACATTTTCAGAACTAGGCAGCACTTTGTTCTTTACCGTCAACAAAATGGATCTATAATTCGTATTAAATTTATGCAGTATCTTACATCGGAATATATTTACAGTTTCTTTAAATTCCTTTTTGAGTGTCACTGAATACATTTTGGTCGTTGAGAAGTCCTAAAATTTTTCCACAATCCGTTTTAATTTTTTTGCTCACCACTAAAAAGAGTAGGGTATATATTATCATATATCCCCCCTCCAGTATTTAGGTCCATGGTAACACGACTGGAAATAAAGTTTGTATAATTGAAGGTCTCCAACGTTTAAAGCCCAGGTCACATTGTCATGATTTTTTTCCCCGATAGCTTCAAATGTAGGCCCTATAAAGTCTTGGACAAAATACGTGACGGCATCTGTGAGAATCTTAATGAAATTTGGGTGGGGCCCTCATAGGTTTGGAAGGGCCAGATTTGAGCATGCTCAAAACTGTCGTGGCGCAGTAACGACTTTTTTTTCAAAAAGTGGGGCATTCCTGATAAAATCGCATCTTTATCTGACACATTCTTGCAGTCTTCGTATACACATTCGACATTCGTGGCCTTCCGTTGATCATCGTGACTGTTTTTATGACGATTCACGACGAATTTGTGAGACTATATTACGGCCTACATTTTGATACGTTTTGCTACGTATAATGAGCCCGAACACTCACAAAATTAACGAATTATTGCAAATTTGGGATCATCTGAAAGTTTATAACGTCCTCTATCCACAGAGCTAAGCTAAGAAGTCATACCTCCAACTGCTTGGGAATAATAATGTAAAGAAAGTGATTATTCTTCTTGGCAATACTTCCCATACAGGCTTTGCGTGGCAGCCATCTTGTAGGGCAGTTCTTTTGCTCCACAGGGAAACCTCCTTTGTGCAACATGCCTATGTAAACACACTCTACGGCCATTTTCCTTCCCGGATTTGATGTGCTATATTTGAGCCTGAACATTTTCCCAAATTCTCAAAATGTGGTAAATTTTGAATCATTTTTAAGTTTATAACGTCCTCTATCCCATATGAGAAGTCATATTTCCAACTATTTGAAAATGCAATATTTTAGTCAGCAATGCTTCCTATTTTGTACAGTCTGCCCACATGTAGGTAAAGACACTCCACGCCCTTTTCCCTCGCGTTGGCGCGCTATTGTGACGAGAGTGATAACCCGTCATGTTTAACTTCTTTGTGAACGTGAACAGTCGTCTGTAAATCCTCTATTACCATTGAGTATCTCCATCTCGAATATGTTGCAACGTATTAAATCGTAACATATTTTGAATATTCATGAATATGCTTAAAATTTGTAGTCTCAAAGTATAATAACCGTGGGGCCCTGTATTTCTGGCTAATCGCAAAAGACACGTCAGCGGTTAATTGGGGCTATTGAGCCAAAGTCTCGACAGTGTGAGGCTGAACACAATTGCCTCCATTATAAAAAAAAAAGGGCGCCCGTGGAAATACATAGCACAATTTTCCGACCGACGAGAATTGTGTTATCCAGAACAGTCTTAAATTAATGGTAAATCAATCGTGCAAAAGAACTGCTACACATGACACAAGAGAAAGGCATTTTTTGTGCAAAATGAAGGTTTATTAGGCTGTATAGGCATTAGTTAACCAACATGTACCTTCATAACGAAACGAGAGGTATACATGTAACTAGGTACAGACCCAAGCTTCACGTTTACTTCAATTTATTTGGACTACAGTCCCAGATGAGCTCAATGAATTTGAAAGAAAAGCGAGATTACAGAGTAAGTTACCGGTGAACATGATCGCTTTGACGTGCCCTTTTCTTCTGCGGGCTTTGCCTGGTCTACATTACCTCTTTTTCAGTTTATATGAGAAACTAACAAAGGAGTAAAATTAAGGAAATGGAAACATATAAGGTACTTTATAAAAGAATGGGGTTCAATGGCTGATATGAATGTATCAGAATGAATAAACGAATGGAAGAACTGTCCCCATGCTTCAGCTAAGTTGCCGCTAAGTGCACTAGAAAGCCACAAATACGTTGCATCTGGTTTCCAATTTTTAAAGGCAATTTCCCAAACCGTTTTGAAACTCTGTATGCATAAAATATTGCTAACAGTATTCATTTTTATATATAAACGAACAAGGGCTACGTAAAGCTATTAAAGCAAATCAAAAATACTTAGCAATGACGAGCAACACAAAAATATAGCTACAAATTCGGATCCCTTCTTGCCAAAAGTTAATGGATTAGTTGATTTCACTTAACTTTTAAATCAAATAATATGATTAAGTAAATACTGTCCACTATTCAGAGCTTGAAAGAATTTTGTATCGTTTCAAATGTTTGATCTTCATTAAGGGCTTGCTAATTTCGGTTTTTCGACGAAAAAACCTTCTATCCGTCTAGCACTGGGTAAACCTCTATTTAGACAGTCACCTGACTGTTGAAGAGAAAAAAAAAAGTGGAGCTATTTTTTGTCCTCTAAAATGAATGTTCAATAACAAATTTGCACAGAAATTCTGGAATAAAAAAGATATACTACGGCGGCAGACTGTTAATTACATTGAATGATCTACAACGAATGGCAGCGTGACTCAAACACATACTTTCACCAAAAATATGCTTCAATTTGTTCCTATACCCTACGTATACCTTGCTTTTCAGTACTTTGTTAGTGCAGATTTATTTCTTTACAACAATGCAAGCTTGTGGCTATCTCGTCTACTCAAAACTATAATATGTCTATCAAAATGGGTTTTTTTTTTAAAAAAGAAAATCAAAATCACTTCTGAAGTAACATTCTAAAGTAACAAAATTACGACTAGTGCTATTTTTACCCACACCACATCAGCCATGCCCATACTATATCGATGTATTTTTCTAAGCAATACAATTTTTCTAGAATTTTCAACTTCATTATTAGAAAAACGGGTTATAGTATAGAGTCAAACTTCTGTAAAAAGGTTTCCTACAAATGTTTTTCTCAATGGTTCCACATATGAAAACGACTTTAAAACCTTCTGTCCAACTGGAGTGGAGGCACTCTTGGCATTTGTCTAACAATCAAACACATGGCATTTCTATCCACTATGAGTTATTTTGAATCTTTTGCTTTTAAATCATGTCTCTCTTCAAACTCGCGCAGACGATATAAAAAAATCACACATTTTCTTCTTGAATTACTACTAGAACTGCCTTTGCATCTCCACCTTTTTCATAGCTTTTTGTAGAAGTTAAGTTTCAGGTTGTCTCTTAGATTTTATTCAAAGCAATTATATTTGTTTTACAATACATTCACTGCATGTTGGTCAAACTCTTTGTTACTGAACTTAAAATAGAATTTCTCACAAATCTTCATATTTTTTGTCTACAACATAAACCCCTGTAGGGCTACTCAAATTCTTCAATGGAGCATATAGCATCACAAAATCACAATTTTCTGCAATTAGTAAATACGATGTACTGAAAAGATTAGCTATAATGACAAATATCACCAAACCGTACTTAGAAATCATAATGAATTGCATATCTTTAAATTATCATTCTTTTTTTTTTGGCATATTACTGTAAGGCCAAAGACACCATGCTTTAATATGCACTTTCGCTTACAAATTACAACATCTAAATCTACCACTAGACAAGCATCCCTAATTTCCAGTCTATACATTTCTACACTTGTAAAACTTTTTTCTTTTCGTACTCAAATTTGATATTTTGGAAGACTAAATGAGACACTTGACACAAAACCTCTTTTTTTATCTAGGACCTTACTCATACACTGCTCTTGCAGTAATCAGTTTTTTGCTTCTTCAAAAACCCTGGTAGAACGTAGTTCCTTATTCAGGGATCTACTTTAGATTGATCAGAAGTCACGTTCCTACTCCAAAGGAGTTTGTCTGATGAGAACATGCCATGTACCAGCTCAAGCTACAAGCTCTCTATACACTGTATGATAGGATGGATCCTGATACTTTGTTTACCTGCTACATATTTTGTGATACATTTGCAACCCAATGAGCTATTGTAAGGTGGCCGGTGGCTAAGTGATCTTTGGATACCAAGGCCACAAGCAATGTCGCTCACCTATGGCTCACGGTTGCATGAAATTCTACAAGGATCCCCAGCCGGTGTTACCAGTTTTTATTTTTATTTAATGACTATGGCTCACGCTCAAACTATGAACAGTGGAGGAGGAACGGACTACCGGGTATGTGGTCGTCTCCCCACTTGATGACTAGTTTGTAGTCACCGGTCTCCTTCAAGAGATATGTGATGCTGAATCGTTGTCTGCCCATGTGCTTGACCACAATTTCCTCGCAAGGTGTTTTGGGCCCCGCGATACCTACAAGCAGCATGTTATGACCTGCAGGAGAAAAACATCACTGGTAAGCATTCATCGTGTTCAATCTTTAATCAACACTCTGCCCATGAAAAACTACATGTACTAGCACAAGATGCAGGGTCCTTCATAAATTTCAGAAGGCAGCTATGAACGCAAAGGCCATAAAGTTCTGTGATTATTTCTCAATTTGTTAGGGCCACAGTACTACAAGATTGTTAAGAATGTTTATTATGTATAAACAAAAGTAAATACGCAGAGAATGCATTTATGAAATTCCTACACAATACATGACAATAGGCAATGTAGAACACTTGCTTTCTTATAAATCCAGTATGAGCTAGCTAGCTAGTTCGCTCACTAGCTCGCTTGCTATGTGGTCTCTGTGTCATAATCAAATGTACCCTGGTGAGTGAGCAAGCAAGCAAGCTAGCTAGCTAGCTAGGTTTTGTATGCTTGATTATGACAAAACGAAGACCAGCTGGGTAGGTACTTAGCTTGCTTATTTGCTCGGGTATATTTGATCATAACACTAAGAACGTTTACAGTGTCCATACCAAGTTTTACAGCTTTGAAACGAAATCACAGAAACTGTTCAAAACATTGCCGTGAGACCAAGCATGGGAGCAATAGGCTCTCTCTTACAAAAAAAACATGCTGCAGCCAAATGGTGACAAAACACCACATACAAAAAAAAATTGGTTCTGATGAATCTGAACGTACCTGCTTCAGAGCAGTTTACGGTAAATTGGGACTTCTTGTTGATGAAGGCCTTCTTGAGACCCACGCCTGTTGACGTGCACTTGCTGGCATCGGAGCTGAAAATTGGCAAGGAGGATGACTGCGATGTCTTGACTACCGTCTCCACGGTGACATTGGCCTGCTCCACCTTCAGGCTGGTGGGTCCCTTGGCCTTGCCTGAAAGTGAATAGCCAAAGGCCATTAGGAAAATCGGTTCATTGAGGGACACATGAACCCAGCATTAGACAAATATCTTCCTACCTAATGGTTGATTCCCCTAAGTCTTGCTGCTCAAAATGCACAGATCAAATGCAGATGTAAAATGTGCCTGTCATTGAGCAGTTTGAGACTGTCACAGACACGTATTTGCACCAACTGATTTTTTTTCTCTTACATGTTAAAGTGGACACCCTTTGAAATAGTCAGCTGTTTTTTTACTATGCTTGTGGGCATATGAGCTTTTTTTTAAAAGAGAGGACCTTTTTTTTAACCCAGCTACAAACATCACATGGGATTGAAACATCACATGCCATTGAGCTGGACAACATGAGCTTGTGCAAAGTAATGCAAATGTGCAGTGTGAGTGCCAGGTGCATAGCACCAAAAAAAAAAAAGATTCACCACAGAAAACAAAAATTATGCCAACAAAATGTAAATTCACGCATTTTTTGGTGCACATATCAATGTAATATTGAGCTTTTCTTCCTGGGATGACATCACATGGAAGTATTTATTTGCATCAAAACCCCAAAAGCACCAGCATACCCTTTAGGACGGCAAAAAGAAGTAAAAGAAAATTAGAAAAATCAAGAAACAAAGGGTCATTTTCAACATTGTCCTTTATTAAGAACAAATTGCATTGCATAGACCCTTCAACAACTTCATATATGCTCCAATCTAGCCATATTATGGCCATCTAATATCCATGAGATACCAATTTCTATCGCCAATGATATTAAAAAATTGTACTTTCAAACCCACTGACTAACCCCAAAGGGTGCATGAAAAATTCTAGTGACTTGGTGGTTGCAAGACTCTTTCAGGTTTTAAAACTTTCACTTGCGTTTGCACTCACCAGTGATTTTGGCCTTGAACGGGCTGCCCCCAATGTGGTGCGGGCCAGCATACTTGATGGAGATGAGGTGATCCCCTGGCTGGGTAGGGTAGTAGATGCACTTGTAGCCCTCTCCTATCTCCTGGACATCCAGCTTAACTTTGGAGGGAGCATCGATGGTGATGGAGAGGGATCCAGCCCCTGCACCGCAGGTATTGACGATGAATTCAGCGGGCTCACCTGCAGATATGAATCCCATACAAGGCAATTAATACAGGAATGAAAAATCACAATACTGGAAACTAAAGAGTCCGTTTTCACGCAGAGCAGTTACTTTTAAAATGGGGATTATCGTCTTCATGAAGTGTACTATGAATATGTCATGAACATGGAGGAACCACTTTGGTGTGATATCTCGGACTCCAAGTAATTGGCATCTGATGTCGTCGACACCAAGGAACCCGAACCAAAAAGCCTTACCAGGTGTCCTTGCTGACATTAACTTTAGGAGATTTTGGGCCCTTGAAGTTGAGATTTGGGCTGAAGTATAAATTACCTACCTCTTGAGCACAGGACTTTGTGAAGGCTTCTAAATGGATGTACTGCCCGAGTGAAGTCCAAACCCAAGACATTCAAGGTTTGAAAAGTGTCCATGTACACTACATATCTTTTTTTTTCTCAAGTTAAGTGCTTTTAATAGAACCATTTCAGCTGAGTCATCAATTCAAGAATCGGCTCTCATTACATGTGCTGTGGTTTTTCACATTTAAATGACTTGATTTTTGCGAGCAATGCCCTTTTTACCCATAGGTTTGACTGTGAAGTGCCTAAAATCGCTTCCCGTTATTGAAACGCTGAGCATTTCTTGTTCGTACCTGTCTTTCCCTTCTCCAAACCATCACCATAGGCATGGACCATGCCAGGATCACCGATCATGTCGTGGCCTCCAACGCGCACCTTGAAGGGACTGCCGGGAATGGGATGCCCTTTGAAGTAGACATGGATCAGATGGACACCGTTCTCAGAAGGGAGGAAGCGCACTGCATAGTTCTCTGCAAGCAAACATGAGGAAAAAACCTTCATATTTACCTCCATCTTTTGTTCTCAAACATGATACTGCACCAACTTATACTACTTTAAATATCAGTGGTAAGAACAGTCTATGCCGTCTTCTTCAGATTTCCTGTGCAAACCCTTAGCTTTCTTTAAGTAAAGGGCCTGACGTTTCGATCCAAGCAGAATCTTTCTCATAGGCATGTGACAAGTGGACAGGACAAAAAAGCAAACAGAGAATCAGGAAACAAGCCGAAAAATCATTGTTTGCTTGTATGTCCTGTCCACTTGTCATTTTACCTTTTAGAAAGATTCTGCTAGGATCAAAACGTCAGGCCCTCCATATTTTGAGATTTATGTAAAGGGTACGAGAGTGACTCCATCTGAGCTGTTTTTGATCAGGGAGGCGGAAGGCCTGTGCTGATCACCTCATAAGTAGACAGGTTGTGAACTCACCGTTGTCAATCTCAGTGATAGTACATTCGTTCTCACAGCCAGAAGGTGCTACAACCTTGGCCTTGAGATCACCCTTGGCACCATTCAGCTGCACAGCAAAGGAAACCGGTTGGTTGGGCTTCAGACCACTCTCCTGCAAAGACAAGCACAAGCACATGTTTACCTGTACACACAACATGTCTTGCTGAAGCCAGGAGATCACACACAATTTTACACAGAGTCAGTACAATTCACAACGTACTGCACCCCCCCAGAGGTAATCAAGGAGGTCATTTCTCACAAGTATTATGAGAAAAAACACACGCAACTGCACTACTTTTACACAGCGAATTGGTGGTTGTGCACTGTTTGGTTTCAAAAAAATCAAGTTGGAACTTTCGGCATGTGAATAATGTTTTGTTTATCTTTGAGGCTTAATGGACACATCTAGGTATTTCATCACTATGGAATCAAATGGCTGTGAACGTACATGACAATGGTTATTAGTGTCCCATGGTAGCTTTTAGTTTAACATGAGCAATATTGTGGGTGCACTCTGTAGGTTTTCTTAATGAACTCTATGCGCCCAGTGCATGTGCAAAGTTTGCCAAACAGGGCAAGACAACTCACGTGGAGGGCAGACACGCTCAGACGCCTTGCTTCACCGAGTGCTGGTGTGATCATGGGCTTGAATGGACTGTCAGGGATGGGCTTGTCATTGTACATGATGTCAATCACGTACTCCCCTGCCAAAGAGGAATGCAAGGAACAAATAAGGAAACAGGGATCACTTAACAAAGACTTGACATCAAAAGTGACGACACTCTCGCAGGGAAGTCCACAGCAGGAATGTAGTATATAGGTCATTCCATGAAGTTCGGGCGCAGTTTGTGACGGCGTCACTTGTTACATCAGTAACTTTTATGGCCCATTATTTTCAAATTACAACAGATTAAGTAATTATTATTCAGCAAAGATGAAGCAGACCACTACAACAACCTAGCAAGATTTAGAACAATATCAATTTAGAATCCACAGGCAGGGAAAAAAGATGTTTATTTTCACTGATGTAAAAAGGGACGCTGTCACAAACTGTGCCTGAACTTCATAGAATGAGCCATATGCAAGATGAAACTTGAACTGATTTTTGTCCAGGACAATCTTGCTTCCTGCTGGCTTGGCATGCAGAGAAAATTTCTCTGCTGTATCAGAAACTTGGTCAAATTCATACCCGTTCTTCTGGTTAGTAAAATTCCATCCACACACCTGACAGGGGAATGCCAGGTTTGTGCTTTCCACATTTCATCAGACACACTTTTTCAACTTTCGAGAACCATAAACCACAAATCACTGGCTGAATGATACAGGACTAAGTAAGTATGAGACATACTGTTTTGCTAGGCCCAGAATTTTATATTTCGAGCCGAAGGCCATTTTTCCTATGAAATCAGCATATCCACAGCAGACATGGAGAAAAACACAGATTTACCATATTTACATGTATGAATTGACATGTCTACAAAAATAGTTTGACGGGTGGCAGCAGTCAGGGTCTCCTGTAGTGTAATTTCACCTCCAGTTCAGTTTGATGCCAGACTGACATCAAGGAGGCGTCAGCCTGAACACCCCCTGGAAGACTGGATGTCATTACCTGGTGCAGTGGGAACGTAGGAGACTTGGTAGGAGCCGTCTTTGTTGTCTTGGATGTTTATCTCTGCCTTGGCTGGCCCCTTGACTGAGATGCCCAGCTTGCCTGGACCCGCCTCACGCGTCCACACGGTGAACTCAGCTGATGGAGGAGAATGTGCAACAGGGACACCATGCTTAGTTTAGTAGTAGAGCGCTCTGATAATGGACACATTGGCATTAACACAAACCACTGTTGAACACAAACGTTGCTTTGTGACTAGTGCTACAGAAAACATACGCAATGGCAGCTGAAGAGGAACTTTGTTCCTCCAAGCAAAACATGTGATAAATTGGTAGATGTGTATATATTTGTGAAGAATTGTCTCATACTCTTTTTCTGCTGTACACTTGTGGTATCAAAAACCATTTCCACTTCTCTACCATTAACTTCCTCACAGGGAATATGCTACTGGCCAGAATTGGACTTTGAGAGAGTGTTCAATCAATCACGTTACAGCTCTAATGTCTCTGAGGTAAAAAGCTTGCAGTTACTGAGCACACAGGGTTTCCTGGCATAGACAAAAGCAAATGGCCTTTGCTCATTCGTAATACCATCCAAAACAATGCAAGTTGTGAACAAATTTCAGGGTTGGTTCAGAGCCAAAAGTAGCTAATGCCACTAGCTAAAAATAACCAATGAAGTCAGCAGAGTGCATCCCTGAAGTTGTTTGGCTCCAGTCATACTACACATCTGATGAAAGTTTTTGACATTAACAAAAAAAAATGACACAGGAACAAATCCTGTGATATGAAGCGAAAGAAAACTTTAAAAGCTCATCAATATTAGCCTCATGAAGGTATTTGGTTCAGGGGACCAGGATCGCTTGTAAATGTAGTATGGCTAGCTACAGTAAAAAAATATTCGGCAGATTTGACCAAAAGACAGTCAGATTTCTAACACGAAAGAGTGAGATGATTGCATACCTGGAACACCAATCTCCCCGCCTTCCAAGCCTGGCCCTCCTGCGTGTACCTTGTGGGCTCCGCCCTCCCCGAAGGGACCAACAGTGAACTGGAAGGGACTTCCTGCCAGGCAAGAAAACAGAAAAGCATCAAAGGTTGCGGGCTCAATGACATTGATTCAAGAGGCTGTTTTTAGCATTTTCTTTATTTGCACAAATTGAAAGCTTCATTCACTGAAAAGTCATTTACATAAACTTTTAATGTATTTTAGGTAAACTTTTGACAGCACCACAGTTTGTGACACTTTTCATTTGTATTTTCACAAATGAGCACAATGACTTCAATAATTCAGCTTAACTTTCAAAATATTACACATCATAACTCATGCATATTTGTTCCTGAGATAATGTATGGAGGTAACACTATTGTTGCATGATAGTTAATGTGGGGGCCAAGAAACACTAGTGGAACACTTAAAAGTCTAGGATTCGAACATGAAGCTCATCCGGTGGCAAAATACTTGTCAAAATCATCGCGGATCTTTCAAGTCCTTGTTGAAGTAGTCCAGTGGACCAGTCAAGGTATACTTTTGAACATCTGTATTTGGTCCACAAACTGTTTGGCAAAATTTGCCCCCTATTTGACCACATATCTGTTCCCATTAAAAGAAAAATGTCACATATAGCAACCTGAAAAAGGGGGGAATTTTCCCCAAACTTCAAGCGATCATTACAGCAGGGCATTACTGTCCTTTATATACATTTTTTTTACTTGAGAAGAGCCAATGCTTCATTGCTTGATTTGAACATCTTGCCTAAAATTACCACAGTAAGCGTAAAAATTTTCATCAGCAATGTTTATATCCCGAGCCTGTTCACCTCCAGAAAAAAAAATTTCCAACACAGCCTACACTGCAAGATTGTAACGCACAGACAGTGGAAACATCAGAGAATTTTAACTTCTGAGGGCATTATTAGTGTAACCCGGTGTCTTGCAAGACATATCCCTTTTTTTCAAGGCACAGTTCTTCACGATACTATACCTGAACAGCAAAATTAATGCAAATTTCTTGTCTTTTCTTATAAGGCATTTTTAAAAGTTAGTGTGTAAAAATGCAGCAAGGACCAGTCAAAACTGTGATGGAGTAGTCAAGATATGACTGCACTGATCCAGACAGCCAGTAAAAAAGAAGTTACTGGGAAACCCTGAAGTCCATACAATTTGGTCATTTCACAGAATAGACCTCTATTCTGGTTATTGATTACTGCATGGAACCCCATCAAACTGCTTACTCACAGATGCGTGGTTCCATTTTTGGTTAAGACAGTTGTTCTGCTTGGAATCCTTTCCCCATATCTAGGGAATTTGTTGGACTGGTGTCTTACCTGGTACATGGATACCTCTGTTTTTGACACTGACAGTGTGGACACCGTCCATGCTGGGCACAAAACGCACAATGTAGCGGCAGTCAGGACAATCCACTATTTCAGCATCCTCGGTCTGACCGCGGGGGTTGGACACCTGTGCTGTCATATCCAGTGGGTCCGTTCCTAGACACACAAAAATGGCACACACTTCAGGACTCTCTAATGGCAGGTATATTGAGGTTTCAATTAAATAAAATCAATTACTTCCGCAATGTAAAAATCAAGTATGACATGTATGAGACTAGTCTGTTGATGTGATCAATGAGTTACATTTTAAAGAATATAATACAATAATGAATCCTTACGAGATGTTGCCCAAGATATCGACTACTTTTCTACGGCATCAGTAGAATTTTGCAGTGGATTACGTGCTAATAAAAACTAATACAAAATGGTGATGAGCAAAAGATGCTGGCCACCTAACCAAGTTTGACAGCTCATAAAACAAACTGGCAATTCATTTGACTGATTGTAACTATGCAGTCTAAAGAACAGCAGCCTCGGTAATAATGTCACAATAAACCAGTCAAGACTTCTCAGTAAAGGTATTCTCTAAAGTAGAAGCCCCTCTCACTTTGGGGAAGGCATGACATGGTTTAGCATTAAGAGTCCTCCTCACCTGGAATTTTCAGGCCCAGCTCACACTCGCTGCCGGCGTGCTGGACTGGGGCAGCATTGGTGGGCTTGACCATAGTCTCCTGTATCAGCGGCTCCAGAGCTGACCCATCCTCGGGGTACACCTTGACATTGAAGGGACTGCCCGGCACATCTTGCTCAGCAAAGCGCACATTGAGCTTGTAGTTGCCCGGCTCGGCAGGGCGGTAGGTCACGGCACAGGTCCCGTCGCCAAGGTCTGAGCAGTTGATCTCTGTCTTGCTGGGACCTTCGATGGACACGCCCAGACCACCGTAACCTAGGACCAATGAAGACAAACAATTAATAATGTGCCCTCTGTGACCTTGGCTTATTCTGATGTCACAGGGGCCAAATTTTATGGCACTGATAAACACACAATTTTACACTTATAGAGGCTGGTGTATTCATGGAGACTGTAAGCAGAAGCGCGGATTAAAGGCATGCTTACCCTATAAGAAATATTTGCTTAGTTAACTTAGTAATGCAAAAATGGAAATCTTTATGTACGCACAATTGTTAGCACAGACATGCCACACATCGTGTGCTTAAAGTTAGCAAAAATTCAAGATATAGTATAGCAAAACTTTTCTGCTAAATGAACTCTTCTGTCATCAGAGATAGCATAAGTAGTGGACTAACAAAGGCTTTGCTTTGATGCAATGGCACATGATGCTGGTGGCCATCTTCATGTTGAGAAAAAGTGTTCTACAGACAACCTCTAATCCATAATGTGGTCCAGTGGAATAAAGAAAATATCACTTACTGGACCAAGAGCTAACTGCAATTTGAGTTCCATTTGAAACAAATGTTATCACTTGGTTTTAACGGTGAAAAACTCGTAACATTGAAAGCCCCAAAACACCTCTCGCACCCACCTTCTTAATATCAACAGGTAACATATAACTCAATGATAAATGTTGTTCTCAGTCTTTTCAGTCGACTGGTCATAACAAAGTGCTCTTTTTTGCATATGAAGAACAAAGACAGATCCATGTGCACTGAGGCTCCACACGTTGATGCTTTTTAACCATCTTGAAAGTAAACATAGTCTGGCTTAAAAATCACAAATCTACCGACCTGCATCCCTGGTATCCACGACAAATTCAGCCATCTGGCCAGCGTCAGCCTCTGAGATTCCACGACCCTTGACCTTGACCTTAGAGGCATCCCCCACCTCCTGGGAGCCCACGATGATCTTGAAGGGGCTGCCTGCAATTGGCCGGTTGTACTTTTTGACATTCACTAGATGTTCCCCGACCTCCTTGGGGGTGAAGGTAATACCTACAGAGAATGGAATACAGGGTCATCATTAGGCCAACGGAAAAGCTTTTGAGTTTCTACCTAAACATGTTTCTCAGATTGGTTTTTTTAATGTCTACACTTGATGTTTACCAAATTACTTGCTTATAACACAGGAAGCTTGTAATAATTGTGATGACATTTAATTCAGGACTCCTTAGGCTATCACTATGGGTGTGTCAACACAAAAATGCCAAATTTTTTCTTGTATCCTTTACTCATTATCTTTTTGATTTGCTGAAAGTTTGGAGGATGCTGGAGTTATCACTTTACATTTCACACTATTTTACAGCAATTGTCAGTTTTACTGCTATTCTAATACAAGTATGCTTAGACATTTCCATATTGTGTAAGTGCAAGTAAAACATGCAAAATAGAGGATAGATGTTTGTCATCATGACTCAAACTTCTTGGGTCTTCAGAGCCAGAAGAAAAGGCCTGCTGACTGACCGATATTTCCGTTGGGGAGGCGTTTGAGGGCGCAAGGCTCCTCCACACCACTGGGTGGGGTGATGGAGGCTTTGAGCTGCGACAAATCAGTCTCTGTAATCTTGAGAGGGACATCACTGGCCGAGCCGATGGACATCATGCTGCCGGCCTTGTCTGGACAGACACGGCAAGAGATGGGGAAAAAAATTGGCAGGAATGTGAAACATTAGCTCATGAAAGGCTGAATTTGGAAAGGCTCATCTGAACTGTGTCATCATTGCATTAGTCAATCCAGTGAGTGGATGATCCTGAAACAATAAAGTTTTTAACTCTACCCCCTCTAAAAACCAATGAGAAGATCTCGGTAAACCAAGATGTGATATCTCACCGACTATGTTGGCTTTGAACGGACTGCCCGGGACATGCTTATCGGCAAATTTGACTGTGACCTCGTACTGGCCGACCTTCTGTGGGAAGTAAGTGACTTGGCAAGTGCCATCTTTGTTGTCCACACACTTGATCTCTGCCTTAGACGGGCCTTCTACAGCTAGAGCAAGACCGCCTGAAAAATATCAAGGCAAGGGAAAACAACTTCAAAACTGCCTCTCATTTAGGAGAACCTAATATCACTTGCTCAATCACACTGTGTCATATAGCACCTTACGTACACGGGTTTCAAAATGCCTCAAAATTACTACCCCTACTTATCATGCAATGAAATCAGTTCAATGAAGCAATTTGAGATGAGTGCGATCTGATCTGTACCCTTGCAGGGTCCTGCAAAAGGAATGCAAGTGCAGTGGTATCTCTTACAGGATTTGAACCCACATACCACTCCGGCGTAAGAGATCAGGACTACTATATAATGGCATTGTTTGCTCTACAGTGTACATCATTCATTTAAGACACTTCTATTCCATGTTTACAAGAATATGACTTTCATTTCATTGGAAGTTGTCCCAGTTAATACAATATATATTTCTTTTTCATTTTAAGGTTTTAAAATTCTACGGTGATACAGTACATGCAAAATATTTCTCAAAAAATTGTTTTGTAGGTAACTAGCACTATAAACTCAATGAAATTTTAGCTGGTAACCAGATAGTAACTAGACTAAAAATTAGGCATTCCCTCACACACAAATATGATAACAGTCCTTGAAGGTGCTGAAACAGTATCGTTTACCATGACAACTGCCAATACAACCTTATACAGAATTTAACTAGGAACATGTGTGCAAGCAGAACACAGTGTCTATTGTGCAAGCCACATCCGCAAGATTTTGAGAAGCGTACCTGGGCCAGCATCCTTAGTGTTGACTGTAAACACGGCTTGCTCTCCACAAATTCCGTGGGTCAGACCAGTGCCGTAGGCTGTGGCCTGACCACTCTTCAACTCGTCAACGTGGAACTCAAATGGGCTTCCTGGTGTTGGTAATAATATAATACAAAAATTTATTAAAGATGACAGTAATTAATTTACAAAAGCTGTTGCTACATAGTTCTTTTTCACATTAAATTTATGACATAAACCACAGATGAAGAAAAACTTGGAATGCAATATAGTGGGACAACAGACAGTTACTACACTGATTGCATTTTATTTGGCACTCACATCAGTAAGATTATGAATTAGAATTTGCAAAAAGATGACTAAAATTTCTTTGCAAACATCAGTGATTGGTTATGCATGTGAGTGTGGTGCCTATGCACCAAACATGTCTCCTCTAACCAGTCCATGACTAGCCATGGCAGCCTGTAATCACAATTTTCACCCATCTGTAACCTCTCCTCCCTCTCCACTTAAAAGCACTATCGAAATCTGTCCAAGGATGAAACTGCTTACTGTACCTGGTACATGGCTGGTTCCATACTTGATAGTCAGCTCGTGTTTGCCCGTCTCCTGGGGTGCGTACTTGACGGTGATGTGACCATCTTTGTTTTCGGTGATGGTCGGTATGTCCTTCTTACCCGAGGGCCTCTTCACTTCACCTTTTGGAATGAATTTTGGGAAATGGCAGTCAGAGGTCACTCAGAGGGAATTTCTCATAGTAATTTCTCATGGTAAAGATGACGCCATGATTGCATTTCTTTTTTGATTCAGTTTTTTGTGAAGATACACAAAATGTAAAAATTTCGAACGCTTTTGTTTTCTCTGAATTTACTAAGGTAAAGTGATGACTGAACCTATCCAAAAATTCAAACTTTTAATGAACTATAATACACTTTTGAACTGGTTCAATTATTCAGACGATTAATGACAGCTTTAAAAATTAATTAAAATGTGTATGAATTATCCAACAGAGAAACAACATAAACAAAGACTAAACCATAAACAAAACATTGTTGACAACATCACCACAACAAATAAAAACGTATCTTGGTGCAACAGACAAAAAGGAAATAAACAAATAAAAGCTAATAAAAGAGCTGTGTAGAAGGAGAAATATGTTGGCATTTAACTCAAAAACTGAAACAATGAACATAAACAAGCAAATTATACACATTTTTGAAGGGGAAAAAATTAACTGTTACTGTTGGAGAAAAGAAGTAGATGAATTAGTACAAGCGTTGGTTGCCTAACAAAATTTGTTGGATGAGCCCATCTGCTGATGAAGCTGTGAAAATTAGAAAAAAATAAAGACAAACACCAAGATGTTAATAATACCGTTACCATGGTAATAAATTCATATAATTTATTCATATTACAATTCCCAAAAAAAGACATTTGCAAAATATTACATTAGATTGGTAAAAAGTACAAATGGTGGTGCAATCCGCTATTCCTCTGATTCTTTATTTGTGTCACAACCTGGCAAGAGAGGAAAGTTCATTTCACATTGAAATGTTAGTTCACTCTGTACCCAGATTTCCAATGGGGGAAAAAGGCACATGGCCAAAAAGAGTTCATAGTTTTCAACTTTGATAGGCCCTGTTGAATTCAAGTATATGTAATATGTATGTTTTGATGTCGTGTTAATCAAAGTATAGTTGCTGCCTTTCACAAAGATCTTGCTTTCTTGCAGGCAAGGTGAGACGTGCCGTACTGGACACTGAATGGCATTAACCTTGATTTCCCATTCCCAAGATACTCACATATTTTTAACTCCCCAACTTACAAAAAAAATTAGGAGAGAGCTGCTATCCTCAGGTTTGAGTACAACTTTGTTAGGTATGTGACTCAAGTTTCCCATCAATTTTCAACAGTCCCCAATACACAATGTCTGCATTTCAAGTGAGAAATTAGTGTGCTGGATAGCATGACTTTTACACATCCTTTGTCTGTGTCTGAGAAGTTAGTAATTTCACTGTTATAAGCTCAAGTGCATAAAAATTTGTTGGCTTTAGTAAGTGACTAACTTTTTACTCCTCCAAGTCACAAATTAATATCACGATGGTACATGGAAGGGAATTAGCTGAGTAAAGCATCCTAGTGCCTGCTTTGGATGATGCCCGGAGAGAAGAAGAAGAAAAAAACTAGAGGCCATCCCACGTTGACTCACCATTCAGCTCCCCTGTGCGGTCAAAGTCTTCAGGAACCTCAACACTGAAGCTCCGATCATTCGGGGTGCCCAGAGGAGACACCTTGCTCTCTTCCTCCGGTTTGTCCCCGAACTGGTTACCCAACCAGGTAAATGGTTTTTTCAAAAGATCTTTCAACCCAGAGCCCGGGGAGCTCGGAGGTCCTGCCACAGGGGAAATCAAATTTGATCACAGATGGGAAAGTCAGTCACCTGTAAATTGGTTTGGCATCCGTCTACTTATGATTTTGATTAGTTTGGTACCGGTATATATATTCTTTAATTCAACTGTTTTTATATCAAAGTAAAGCACAGATATCTTCTGTTAAATGTTTGAAACATTCATGGGAGTCCATAACAATCTGAAGAGTAACGATTCCCAAGTTTAAAAACAACATAGAATTTAATTTGTCGATTCTCCAAAATCTTAGTTTTAACCTCAAAGGATAATATCAGGACTTGTGAGCCCAGCACCTTCTGCGGTCTAATGTGACAGAACATGCATCTTAATGACAACCTGAATATTCAAAATGCAGTGAATATTCAATCACCTGACTCTACATCATCTACTTTGTCTTTAGTGATTTCCTCGTCCACTGGTGCTGCCTGTGGCTCCTGGCCTTCTGGCATGTCCATAAAAGCTCCAAAATTAATCCCTGTAAATTGTGATTAATTTAACAGTTTATCACTATCTTAATTTTGCAATTTAAGTTGCTTTATTACATGCTTGAAGTCCCTTTAATGGTACAGATTTTATTACAATGACCTAGACTTTTCTGTTTAAAGTCTAAGATTAATTTCACAGATACAAAGCATATTGAGAATTAAGGCTATAAATTTACAAAAATGAAGCCACAAATTGGAGCTTTATGTGCAGCTTTAATGTTATACACTTAGGTTGTGCTGTTTTATCCTCACTGCATAGAACATCAGGTCAATGTCATCAGCACAGGTTGTCATAATACATAATATGTATAACATCTACCCAAGTGGAGACACGGAGTGGAATATTTCATGTTATATACATGGAAACTGGGTAATTTGGCTGTGAATACCTGACTTCACTTAAGCCCACAACCAGACCCCTTGGAAAAGGCTGATCAAAGCAGTGGATTGTTGGCAGCTCTTAACTGATGTTAAAGAAATAATGAAGTGAAGGGTTTGTATTTCATATATCACAACCTTCAATACCAATCAATCTGGAAACATGCAAAATGACACGGTTTATAAAATCCAGGTTTAAACCCAACAGCCTTACCTGCTTCCACAGGCTTGACCTCCTCCTTTCCTACAACCTCCTCCACAATTGGTTCGCCATTCTCTACTGGAGTGCCATTCTCTAAAAGATATGTTTATTGGTTGTCAGTCTATGCAAATGACCTTCAAAAATTTAGAGGCATGAATGTACATGTATGGTACATGTAAATGTACTCGTATGCTGAGCATGAAAACACTGTAGAGATCAGAGCAAAGTGCCACGGAAAGTTCAATGCAGCATTCGATATTAGTACCAGCCACTAGGTATGCCGATGCATCTGTGAAAGAAACACACTGCAATTAGTGAAAAATATTGGCAGACAACCAGCAAATTAACCTGCATTAACCTGAGGAAGAAAAGGCTGATCTTGCAAGGCAGAGGTGTTAGCTGTTTGCATGGTGCGGTTAACTGCAAATAGAAATCCTGGAGATAATAAGCGCATAACAGCACTTTTTGCTTGAAGATTGACACCTATGATAATTTCCAGTCACAGAAATGGTGGCAATAAACAAGGAACATTTTCAACACGGTAAAAAAAGGTGTTGTAATCTTCAGTAGATGGCAAACAAGTTCTCAGGAGACGATTCGTAAGCAAATTGATTTCCATGTCCTGTGTGCTTACACAACAACCTTACATAGTGAAGGAAAATGCGAGGCTGCTGAAAGATTCAAGGCTGAACAAGTTAACTGTGATCTTCACTTACAACTAGTTAGTAGAAACCAAACCCTGCAGTTGTACCAGAAGAAGGTTTATTTGTTAGGTGTATTCCAGGAGTAGTGATAAGATAGAAGATTCTTGTGGCCTCGCATAACCAAAACCACTTTTTAGCATTTCTCTTTTAAAGCTCTACATGAACCCAGTTTCATCTCATTTGCCAGAAGGCCCCACATATTTGATTTAGCAAGTAAGAGGACAAAAATCTGTTATCCTCCACCAAATCCTTACAATCACAGAAACCACATAGTCCTGCCTAGGTGCCAAACTTGCCCTTAACCTGTGCATGTTAGAAGCTACATACAATGAGAAAAATCAAGAGATAGTACTGTCAGCTTTTTGAAATGAAACTCAAAGAACATCCAAATGAGTAGCTTCAAGTTCAAACCTCACACCCATGTTAGTCAATGCTGGTGACCAAGTAGAATAACTGTCTCTCCCAAGCAAGAGACAACTGGGCTGAATTCGTTCGATTACCAGTGATTCCCAATTACACCCCAAGATTTCAATTTGCAAGACAGAGAGCGGATGTGGTGTGAAATGGCACAGCCTTGCAGTGATTCCATATACAGTGACCAATCACGGTGCAGAGATGTTCAAAGCTCCTCCAATCACCACTCACCATCCACTTTTTCGACGCCACTGGGCAAATCATGAACAAAGTCCCAGTCCTCATTGGCCGCTTTGCTCTTCTCCCCTTTGTCCCCAAACCGGTCGCCCAATCTCCGGATGGGTTCAGTGACTCTATAGAAGAACCCCTTCGCAGAGCTTGGCGAGGCTGGTTCTAGTTTTAATTGTTTGATTTAAGAAATTTTGGCAACAGGAGAAAAACAACATGAACTGTTTAATCAGAGTGCTCCGTGGAAAGGCAATCCATTTACAACAGTTCCAATATCTAGATGTTGGCTGTAATTTCAAACTGTGAGGTTGTCTCTTATTAATCAAAAATGCAAAACAAAATACACAAAAAAATTAAATTGGGTTAAATTATGAGAATCAATTTGTTGGCATGTTAGAAAACAATAGCTCAAAGTTATCTAGCTTTTTTTCAAGTTTTTAGTGGACATGTTTTAAACAAATTAGTTTCGGTGTTCCCTCGAAAAAATGAAACACAATTTCCTTCATTTTTTTTTCTTCTGAAATTCCTTTCATTGTGAGGTTATTGGCTTAATTTCTAGTAGAAAAACAACCATCGAAAAAAGGTGTCATTAGAGTGAATAAAAGCAAATTAATTAAGCACATTTAGGTAAAAAGGTCCTAACAACAGCTGTACATGCACATGCCTTGTTGTATTGAAAAACTTTGTGCCCGTTCATTTTCATAAACAAAAGGGGCAATACCTGTACACAAAACGAGTATACTTTTAAAACAAAGCATACACTTAAAACCTTGATGTATTTCAGTAATGGGGAAATCTGACAAATGACTGAACAGCACCTAGCCCTAGCTGGGTTCTCACCAGTTTCTTTCGGCTTGATCTGATCTTTTTCAATGACCTCTTTGATCGGTTCACCATTCGGCTGACCATTCTCATCTGGCAAATGTTCACAGGGAATTCCACAAGTCATTTCCAGTAAAACAGCATGAACACTACTTACCCACTCACTGATATTCAGAACTCCCACCCAGGCTACTTTTTGTAAATGAAGTTTTCCTCAATGTTTAAAAAGCTAAATGACACTGTCTGACATACAGCAGAGGTTTGGGGTTTGCAAATTTCAAGGATCAGCACAGTACATAAAAATCTTCAACGTATGACTTGGATATGTGGGAATAAACAAAAGCAAATTGACTCAGTGCAATTTGTTTTTTAAACCACATCTGCCAATGATGGCTAAAGAAATCTCTCTTCACAGACAAGCCCAGAAAAATAATGCTATGTGGGCAATAGACTTGAATGTCAATTACCAAGGCTGTTCTTACAGACGTTTTCCAAATACAATCGCTTACATTTTACACTCTGAAATGATTTAGTGACATGTGGATTCAAAATACGCTATGTACATTATAAATATATGCTGCATAAAGTACCAATCCCATTTCACTTTCTTGGAAGGAAAGGGGTGATTGTTTTCTTTTATTTTTTTCCAAGATAACAGGATATATCTAGGCCTTGAAAAGTACAAGGTGATACAGGCAGGACAAATAGAGAAATTAGAGAAATAGTAAAACAATTTGTGAAGTTCCATCTGGGCTCCCTAAACCTGCAAAAAATGACACGTGTAATAAGTAGTTTTTTGTAGAAAGGGGGTAAGCTGAAGAGTGGAAACATCATCGCTGGCCCTGTGCATTCTGTGAATAAGAGAGAGAAAAATCTTTAATTGGGAAGAAAATGGAAGCAAAATATGTCTTCAGCATTAGATGATCTACATGCACACAGGGCAACCTGATGTGGATTTCATATGTTATTTAATTTCATTTCTCATTATACACGTTAATTTAACTGTTAATATACACTTGCTTAAATAACCCACACCACCACACAAGGTTTGACACTGATTTATTTAGTACAGATACACAGTATTAATGGGTTTTAGTCCGAGACAGGAAGTCAACTTATGTAATAAGTAAATCAAAATGAAATGGGTCACAAAAGTCACCTGAATCTTACGCAGGATTGTTTTTTATGAGTGATTCCTATTAAAACAGATTCCACTGGTGTTAACAGTTATTAACAGATATTTGATCAGTTTTTCGTGTCCCTACATGTAAAGGAAGCAAATGAAATGTTCATCACCTTCAGCAAAAATGTCCAAGTCATCAAAGCTGTAAGGAATATCTGTATATATATTGTAATTGTCTCCTGCAAAATAGGACATTTTGTACAAAAAGGGTCAATCACAAAGAGCATATTCTGGCAAATCACTCAACAACACAAACACCAACGTTTACACAAGTTGCCTTTCATCTGGCATTCACAACATAAATAAAATTTAACATTGATAGTTGTCTATAAGTAGCATTGCCTTTATTTTCTTTAATAAATTTGGAAGAATTAAATACATTTAAAAAAAAGATTGACCCCTATATTTTTAATACAAGGGCCAAAACGGAATAATACAAAGCTGGGGGTAATCTAAGAATTCACCATCCAAAAACAATGTCTTTAAAAACATTATAAATAAACAGACAAATAAGCAAATCCAACCATCTGCACTGTTGAGTCCAACACCAGCACTTCCTCCTAGGAAAAATAAGAATGAATGAATAAATGAACAAAATGAATTATTCCTTGAAAAAGTCTTTCAAAAACCATCCATCCAAACAAGAATGCTTATTTCAAATCACCAAGACATATTTTACTCTATAGGCAATACTTGAGAGACACTTGAAAGCATCCGTAATAAAAGTACAGCGGTGCTGTGGTATTTTCAATTAGTCATCATTTTGAAAAGTACCAGTAGGAAATGAGAGTCTGCAAATGGAAGTCCCTGACAGTTATTTGAAGAGTAGAATTATATCAGGCACATAACATGCATGAAAGTGAGGCTTCATAACTGGTAACAGGAGAGCATGAACTCACCTGATGACTTGGATAACCTCCTCAGGGATACCTTGCTCAGAAGTTTTCCAAGACTCCGTCTTTTTGTAGTCTTGACATCCTCTACCTTAGCTGAAGGGAAAAAATAGATACATGTACACTATAGGGTTCTAAAGTCACTACTAACGTTTTCTACAACTCTTGAAAATTCACCCTTGTATTTCAATTAACCCTTATTTTCAGTTTTGTTTTGGCAATTTCAAAAGGTATTTTATGCCCGCATATATTTCCATAAATTATGTATGTCATTTAAGACGGAAAACCTCAATGTTGTATTGATGTATGCACAAATAACTTTTGATATATTGCTGTCCTTAAATTTTTCTCTTGGTGATTCATTATTATGTAATAAATTACTTGGCAATAAGCCAACGAGCAACCTTTTCTCTGAAAGATTTCCAATTAACCAATTTTTGGTTCACACTTTGCACAGAAAAACCTATGAACTGAACAGAGTCTTCCCTGAAAAATGGAACTGCAACACTGCCGACTGCTTTGCATGTACATGTACACAAAATAATGCACAGTTTCAAATGCCTATAAGACACTTTTCAATACACTTTAACCAAAAAGATGTCAAAAAGTTTTTAAGCACTGAACAGGAGTATACAGTTTCACTTGAACCTCGAATATTGCAGAATCTGTTGATGATACTCTGTTATCTGAATCGAACCATCATATGGAGAAATAGCTCCAGGAATCAAGGAATAATTGTTTGTTTTGTACTGTGTAGGTTCCAAATATCCACAACACTGAGAAGTGAGCCATGGAAGAACTGAGCTTATCAAAAGCCTTGCAATACTTGTTTATCGTTGAGAAGTGGTCCTAGATACAAGTAAATGTACATGTACCTTGGGTCCCAAAGCAATGCACAGAGCACAACAAAAGGGAGACTGGTTTTTGACATTTTTTCCTTTTTAAATAAATTGAATGAAATCTTAAAATTGAACAGTTTTAGAACAATCCCTTTGAAAAACCAGTTTTGTCCATGTAATGATACATGCATGTCATAAATGTTAATAATGCGGAACTGAACAGGAGCAGAGAATTAAGGTGACAAAATAACACAGTTGAAACATGATTCACCCTAAAAAGTTGTATGCATTAGATGTGCTCTTTGAATTCTGGGCTCTTTCAAAATTTCTTTTCTTCAACAGGTCCCTTAACCACTTACAGGACACTTCACAGTCGGCATCAACAAAATCGGAGGATGACCCATACGACTTGGACCTACGCTTCTTGAGGGCACCTTTGATCTTGCTGCCAACACTGCTAGAGCGACTCGGTGACCTCATGGGGACGATATGCACCAACCCTGGGGCTGTTATCAAAATTAACAACGGTTGTCTGTATTAAATAAGACTTAATAACTGAGTGGTTTTCAGTCATTACCAGTTTTCAGGAAGGTGCAAGAACATGTGGGGGGGGGTATTTTCCGAACAAAAGGAACACTAAACAGATTTTTAAACATGTACATATTATGAGATGATACGGTGTCTGGCTCACAATTTTTATCTTACTAATATTTTGGGGGTTCCCTATGATGTCAAATTCCTGGATTAGCATGTAAATAAACCAAATATTGATATCATAAATGAAATTTCAGTGTTCTTGGTCCTTTTGTTTACAGTAAGTCATATGTGCATACAAAGGACAACAACACTGTCAAAATTCTCTCCCAGAAACTGTGCATGTTTTCCATCAGTTGTCTTACCTTCAACAGGGTCTGGTTCCGGAATTTCCCCATTGTCTACAATTCCATCCATGTCAAACACATCTTCAGAATCTAGACAAACCACGACAGAATTGGCATCAAAGCAGTTTCAGAAAAACATAATTGAACCTCAGCTCCTGATGAGCCTACAAGCCAGCAGATCTATGAAAGCATCTGGAAACAACTACAAGTTTAACCTTAAACCTAAATGTTGTTGTCTAATTTATCAAATGTAAAATGATACATTATGTAATGTTGCCTAATTTATTGGCCATGTACTTAGTACTTAAGTAATGTGAACCACGTTTGCTTATTGTAAAGAATGACAGCACTGAAATAAATGTTTCGTTCATTCATTCAACATGTACATTAATATGCTCTTCATGTAATTACTTTAATAATTCATCAGGTTAAGGGATAAAAACCCAGCATCTACACCAATCAATATTTTCTTGTTTTATATTTTTGCCAGTGTGTGCTCATTAAGAGGCCAATACTAAATGTTTTCTAAAGCTGTATTACCCTAGCCCTTGTCTACATTGAAAATCTAATAACTTGTAACTGTAGACTTTCCCATAAAATGCTGAGAAATATGTTTTTGGTATTAACTCCTCCAATAGAAACTTTGGTAACAACAAACAGCATACACTACAACCATTGGTATTCACCTGCCCAGCTCCTGTCCATCTCATATGCTATTTTCCCCTCTGATTTGGAGAGCCGTTTCTTCCCAGCATTTTTCAGCAAGCTTCCAACTATTTTATGCTTTGTCAATTTTGCCTTTTCTGAGTTATAACAATACCAGAGAAAAGCATTCACAATATCACCCTCAGTTGCTTTTTTCCAAAAATTCCCAAAACTTTTTGTATATGGTTTATAAGTTGGGGATCATATGATTTCACTTTCACATTTTTCAATGAGGACAAGCATATTTCAGCTACATGTACATGTACTTGGTGGAATGGTTAAATACTTCTTAATGCTACAAGCTAATGTATAAAACATTTTTGCTATCAAGCATATACACGTAAGCCTACATGTACCTAGTTATTAGCATGTACGATACATGTGCATAAGTAACAATGAAAACAAAGGCTGGTAGTTAGCAACAGCTTTTTCTCCCTTTAGAGATTCTTATACTGTTAGTTAATACTCTGTGAGTGAAAGCCTTTTCAGCTGGAAGGAGTCAAGACATCAAACATTAAGATCTTAGGAAAGGAGATGTAAAGAACACGACTCAGCTTTTAGCTTGGACGGTTGTTCTACAAAGACACTGTTTCATTATACTCTTATTTTATACTTGTACATGCAAGTAAGTAATGCTCACCTGGTTGCACTTCTCGTTCATCAAAAGTTTCTGAGACTTCATCAACCTCAATCCAGTCAACACTGGGTTCCTCCTGGTACAGTTCCACATCCTCGCTTGGGATTTCAAAGTCATATGCGCTACAGTCTTATGAGAGGGATATTGGGGTGATTCATGGGTGTGTGTATACATGTAGGCGAGTAAATTAACAACGCCACTGTCAAATTCTTACGAGCAATTTAAATTAACTACCACATACCACAAGTTACATGTATTTGGTATCACAAAAGAAGTTACAGCTTGTTTAAATGCTTAAAAAGTGTCGGGCCATTCCAAAAGGAGGGTCTGTTGAATATCATAACTTTCTTTTGAAATGTGTCATAGCACAGAGCGGAGGTATTTTGGTAAATAAGAAATCATTTCAGTCAAGTTTCTGATATTTGCCTCTATAACGGAATTCCCACCATTAATGCACAACTTCACTTCTGAGTAGGACATGTTAATCACATACGGACAAGCTGATAACTTTATGTATTCCCAACTTTGCGCTTGAAGAGATTACTGCCGACAATCTGCACAATATCCCGTGTCCTCACCTACTCCAGTTGTCCTGTTCACAGCCAACACGTCAACAGTCATTATTGTCCTTGTCCTTTTTAGAGGAGAACCATCACTGTTTGACGCCCCATCTCCTAGACATTTAGTCAGTAACATACATTCATATGTATACACAAGAAGCATGTAAAAGTATGGAATAGACGAAATGATAACTAACTTCTGTGAAGTTGAATATCCTCAGTGAATTTGCATATCCATGTTTTCCTGAAAACAAGATTTAATTGATTTGGGGCTGCAATGGTCCATTCGTGATGATTTCAACCCTTGCACATACATGTAGATAACAAAAGTTACAATGGTTTGTGATAACTTAGTATGTGCAGTGCTCTCATCTTGACCGCATCTGAGAACTCGGCACTGTAAACCTTTGCTGTATGCAAAAACATGAAAGATTTCAGAACAAAATTTCAAATTGGACGATTTCCTGTTGATGAAATGGTCGGACAGACAGCTGGAATCCCCCACAAGTCATGTGGGCTTTGAAATCATGAAGCATCAACCTGAGGCTATAGATGAAGCCAACGTTGGTCTCTCCACCAGGTAAGCAGTCAGCTAGCTACAGGGAACTAGACAATGACAAGTAAAGTATAGGCATGCTGTGCACTCTGGACTTGTCCTTTTGCCATTCAAATATGAAAAGTTGCTCAAATTATTTTGCAGCACTTCAGATGGAAAAACTCACTTTAAAGGATAAATATGAAACGGACAAGAAAGGTCAAGCACGACTGTAACAAAACAACACAAAACAGAAAACCACAACAAAAACAACCAGTGTACTAAGTTTCAAACTCTGTGGATGCTAGAAATCATAGTAATAATTCAAATAAACAGGAAACAAAAAAATAAGTTTTTCTAAAAGTGCAATGAATACTACTGCAGAGCAGAATGAGTTCCAACTGGCTTGCACTGGAGTGAGGCTGCCTGTGACTGAGAAGACTGCTTCCAGCCAGTTTATACCAGTTATCTACACATACGTCTAACAAAAAGAGTTGCTTTCTAAACCAAAAATGTAGTTATACAACACTACCTCAGCCTGAAGCAACTCCTTGAGTCAGCTTGCAAGAGCAATTCCTGCTGAAACAAAGGTACTTTTCAATGCTGCAGAGACAACGAATGGCAACTGATTCATGAGCATCTTACCGTTGATGTTACCGTGGCCAGCGCCCAGCACAGGCAGCTGCAGTTCCAAGGGACGACACTCAGATGGCATGACGGTCTCTGCGTCAATCAGATCTTCAGGTGGGCCTTCTGCAGCCTGTGTACAACACAAAAAGACAACACAGAAAGGATTTAGCACATAATACATGTACAAATTAATGGACAATAAACAACATGATAAATAGCATCGACCCATCAACCTTTTTTCTGAAACCCTTCTGCTGATGAACCACAAAGGTTGGTTCATAACTGGCACAAGAGCAAATACCAATGAGATCAGGTGACACCAGCAAATTGGCAAAAAGTTGAACACATTTCAATTCTATCAATGTCAAGTCTGCTTTGCTTTTGCATTTGCCTTGCATGTACATGTAAATATGAATTGAACTTTACTACGCTGCAGTTTAAGAACGGTTGAATGGTACACTGATGGACGGCAGTACAGCATGTTTGCCAGAGCCCTATTACTTGTCCTATGAAGGGTTTTTTAATGCAAAACATGTATGCTTGCTTTACCAAAGATTCCTTCAAAAACAGTTGCTGTATTCTACAAACAGGAGTGAAGCAGCAAACCATGAAAAGTTTTGTGGGATAAAACATAAGTATAACAAAGTCATTTTGAATGATACATCTGTAACACTTTTGATGGGTTGTGACCTGTAATTGTTGAAACTGATTCTAAATACCTTTATACACTATGATTTAACAATGTATTCCTTCCTACACAACTGCACATAAATTGATATCTAAATTTGTAGCTGGTCCGAACTGCAGTTTTGCCATCTACATGTAACAGAAGTGAGTACGTGTATGTACACAGCATGGGGTACAGGTTCAGAGGAGAAAATGAAACAGCATCAAGAACACGCAATCAGGGCCACGTGACTGACGTGTGCAGTGTAACCCACCTCAATACCACGCGCCTTAGTGTACACAGATGCATTGCTATCAAAACAAACAGCAGCCAAATTACAGGCCAGGATGTCTCAATGGAATGAAATGGTATTGGTGTACGTGACTCAGTGCCTGTCATTCTCCACATGTACACATGAATGTTGCCTAAATTGCTGCTTGTGGGTAAATCTGGAATTTGGAACTCTCGGCTGTATTCAACAAGGTAAAACTAACTTTTAGGTCCCACAAGTTAGCAGTACGATAGATCATCCAGATACGACAGTTTGGATAAAGATAATTTTTTAGGCCAAATGGACAAAATCAATTGGAAAAATAATTCAGAAGTCTTAGATTACATATGTACTTTAAATGACATGTACATACAGACTAAGTGGTACTCGTGGCAAACTGTGCCACACGTTTGTGAATATTGAAACCAAACCTCTTTAAAAAAAAAAAAAAAGTCGGCCAACAAGCTGAATGCCAATACGGCTGCATTATCCAAGTCAGTAATACACCAAATGCATCCATAATACACTGACCCAGTTGACATTCAATCAGGAAGACCTCAACATTCTTTCTCCATAAATCACATCCTCTCCAAACATAACTCAGTGTAAACATGAATGGTTGATTCTCCAGCAAATGTTGCACATACTTATGCTATCAGGTAACACTGCATTCATAACAAGTGCCTATGGATGTGATAGTATGTGTGGCCATGCAGATCGTGAACAGACCTGTGTGGGTAATTCAGTTATTCATTTTCCCCTCCTGCAATGAGTAAGAGGAGAAATAGGCAGGCCAATTTTGATTCGCTAATCAATATCAATATGTAGAGAAAAAATTAGAAAAATACTTATAGGTACAGGTACAAACCTCAGCCATTATTTAATTTGAAAATTTCCTGTTTCCTGCTAAAATTTACTGTACTTGCAAGAATGTCTGAGGTCAAGCTACCATACATATTAACATGTGCATGTTAACGTACATGTACATGTGAAGTAGGTTGGGCCCAATGAGCCTGAATGCATCAAAACTAGCACAGATTCAGGGACTTGAGCAATGAACTACATGTAACTGTAAATGCTACAGGGGGACACTGCAAGCAAGACAAGTTTCCTCTATTTGTCAGCAGAGTCTTTCAAGTAATGACAGCTTTAACCCCAACTCCTTTGGCATTATTACTAAAACCTTCCTGAATCCTTGAAATCTTCTACTGTGCAGGAAGAAACAGCAAATAAGCAAAATTGCACGACCAAGACCCATGGAAAGTAACTGTGGCCAAACTCCCATCTCCTAAATCTTGCAGAAGGTTTCAAAAACCACCTTGCCCATTTTTGTAAGATCTGACAGGCTTTATCTAGTTACAGTTTTCACTGAAGTGATCCAGGTAGTGGTATGAGCCATCTCCGAACAGACACTGGTAATCTTTATTGTCACAGCATCCTCTGGGCAATGAAACACTGTCGCTGGCATTTAAGCTGAAACACGTTTTCACTACCACTGGGCTCTCTCAACAAGTTACTTTCCTTGAAGTGAAGGCATATGTACTGTAATCTGTCTGTTGACATGAACAAGACAACCCTAAAGAGTCGCAAGTTTCGATTTTGTCAACAATCCAAGTAACACATATCAGGGGCTGGGCATTTTTTTCCATTAGCAATTATGAGAGTGTCCCAGGGAAGAATTCTTGAGTGCAGTACATGAAGGCATCCACAAACTTAGAACAGATGGCCAGAAATGTTCTGCCAGTCAAGTCCATGACTCAAATGTATTGCTGAGCACAGCTGCACCATAAACCATCAGTCATCGAGAAGTTTAGAGCACCTCTCGCAGAGAGCATTTCCCAAACCGCAGACATTTTAATCTGTTGTCAACATGCCTATAAACATCCCTGCTCTATGGTTTTACAAAGCTTGCCATATGGACACATTTTTCTTGGGAAACTCGAGATCATGTGGATAGGAGTATTTTCTCTGAGGGGTTTTTGTCACTGCTTTTGGTTGCATTCTTCAAGCCCAATTTCTGTGTTTACAAGCCATCACTGTTATGGAATCAATGCATATAAGTACCTCCTTAAAGACAGAAACTAGGTCGAATGGTGTTGTTAATCATGTGTACAGGCTAACCATACATGTACAACTGAGTATCATTCAATGGTTACAAAGTTTCCTCTCTCTTGCCTCGCATGATGCCCATTGTTTCAGCCAGAGGTGTGTTTACTCGTAGGTGTCTTTTGGGAACGAGCCATTTTGGACACCTTGTTTTGAATGTATCCGAAAGCTTAAGACTGTAGCAACATGCCTGCTCACTTTTTCACTTCAAGGTAAATACAGACGACCGGTTTTTCAAATGCTGGCTATAAACTCAGATGATGTCTATTAACGTTCAGTCCGTAATATCTCTTTGTATCTATTTGTAATTGCTTATTGCTTGTAATTTCAGTGAATGATCTCAACTCCTTCATGTACGAATAAAAAATAAAAATGCCTGAAAGTTAGATTGTGTACAAACTCTAATACTTTCCCAAGTTTATGATTTGCAAACTGCACCATCTAGTGGTCATCTTGTTTCCATGTAACTGCTAAGAGAATCATCTTCATTCTGCTACCACCTCTGTAACTCAAGATGCATTCCAAGCATTGAATTTCCAGCAGTGAATGCCAAACTGTGAATCTGCCCCACCAATGTCAATTTCACTCAACTATTTTGAAAGCAAAGTACATGTATGATATTTTTAACACTCATCAAAAAGTAATCTCAGTAAAAGCTCGATAAAGAAATAACACGTGGGCAATACAGAAATGATGCAAGCTGGCTGAATGAAATCATGCACTATAGTCACCAACAACAATACAAAAACTTGTATCATTTCTGAAGCCACTTAGCAGCAGAGTAAATAAAAATACCAGACATTCTTTAAGAAGCTCTGGACCACTCTAAAATATGGTGATGTTTCTCCCCCCCCCCCGGTTAAAAATAATACCCTTACAGATTTTTTCCATTTCATATTCTATGTGTGGCTCTGAAACAATAGCATCAGTTTAGCTTTGTGTCAGGACTATTAATTTATACAACCTTTTGCCCTGAAAACAACATAGTGTACACACATTTTATTTACACTACATGTACTAGTATGGTGCAGTCGGAGAGTTGTGCGCAAGTTTGTGATTTTTCACAACACTCCGACCACACCAAGAATACAGTGTAAATATACAGGTACATGTACATGTATATGTCAGTGTATGGGCATAACCTAATACAATGTATAACATTTGGAACAATAGTGTATGAACATGGAGTTATTCAAGGTTAAGTACCGTATTTTTTCACATGCAAAAGTTAACGACTTGCTTCACAATGTTCCAAAACTAACTTAATTTTGCACGGCGTAAAATGCTATAACTCATCCTTTCAAATATCTGTGCCTACATTCTTTCATAAAAGTAAACGCTTGCTGTTTGCATCTTTTTTTTACATTTTCCAAATTGCAGGCAATAAATGAAAGGGAAGGATCATTCAGATAGGCCCAACCCATGAGGTACCTGCATCTGAGCGATATTAATTTCACAGAAATGAGAGTCAATGGACTTTTGAAACTCATGCAACTAGTTCTTTGGATAGCAAAAGATATACTCTGATAATCTGATAGGCATTCATGGCTATGATTTATGAGCAACAGACAGCCAGATGCCAGCAAATGCCCCCACATCAAAATTTACTGCCTGAGTTTTGAAACACAGACTGACCTGGTTGGTGCAGAGAGCCACAGTCTATCAGTCAAAATATTTCTCATGAACAAGTGCATCTCACTGAGAATGAGAGAGGAATTTTTATATCTCTCCCACACCACCAGAAAAACAAACACACAAGACAAGGGGGAAGCAGTGAGATGATAGCAGGGCTGAATTACCAGCTCAGTTCTCTCAGAGAGAGAGAACCTTGCTAGCAGAGAATCCAAGTTGCATCAGCAGCCTTGTCATTGTTGCATGTGTGATTGCAAAGGAATCACTAATCCAAACCTCTCCTCACCATATGAGACTAGCTACAGTTTGCAGGAACTAAAGCTAAGAACATTCTGCTTGTGGGTCTGAGCTTGCATCAAAAAATGGATTGATTTTTCTTGGTCCTGACTGCTCATGTTTACTGCAGTGAACAAACTTCACATTCCATCATTGGAGTCTTGCATTCTGAGATGTT